CGCCCTGCAATTTCACACCGCTTCCCCAGCAGACGGTGGAAAAATCAAGGCACAGGTTGAAGCCAAGAAAGCCAACCCTCCTAACCCGGCCACCAGAGCCCCTGACCCTATACCCAACACCTCAGCTACCACCAACCAACCAGAAGACTTCCCAGTCTTACCAAACAGTGGTTCCTCCCACCACTCGACCCAGCCTTCATAATGGGGACCAAAGGCCCAACCAGCACTCGCCGTCCCTTGTTTCACGGGCCGGCATTATCCCTGGTCTTATACGACTAGCGGAGAGGCTTGCCGGACTAGACAATCGATTCCCTGACACCGATTCATTAGGGAACTGAATGTGCTGTACCTAGCCAATGACCTTGACCCCATCACAGCCCCTGACGCAAGTCTCAACACCTCCCCTACCACACAGGGGGACTTCCACAAGGTCGACCACTAGGTCGATCTCAACTCAGACTTCAGCTCCGCCAAAGACCCAGGCTGCACCAACAGCAGCAGCATCCAATCCTGCCCCAGAATCTACCACCATCACCATCTCGGTAGAGGCGCTTGTAGACGCAGACTAGCTTCTACCACAATTCATCGACTACAGAGCTAACCTCAGTCTCAGGCCGTGACACCAAAACCACCACCAACGGACTACGCCACGGACTCCTCAGACGAGGAAATCTCAGTAGGAGCTCCGTCGCCACGACACTCTCCCAACTCCGTACAAGATCTTCTCATGGAGGCCACATCACCCAACTCCAATGACAGCACAGCCATGTCAACTCGCAGCAGGATGGGTGGAAAAGGGGGAATAAGTGAGGAGAGGGGGGAGATGGGAGAAAGGGGGAAGAGTGTGGGGAGGAGGGAGAGAGAGACCCGGCCACCGCCAGGTACTCCCCTGGTGTGGCTATATACTAGTTAAGGCTGATCCATTGTCTTGGATGCTGCATCTTTCTCACTCTGCTTCTGGTGCTGCTCTACGAATTCCTGCGAATGAATTATCTCTTGTATTTATGTTCTGTGCTCCCTTTATTTCTTTCATGTTATTTTCCTTCTTTTTTGCCTCCTAAACATTGTTTGTCAAACCGTTAGGAATTCCTCCTCTTATTTTCTTTAGCTCTGAGATTCTTGGCATTTACTAGTTATGTAGTCCAAAATATCTTGTTTTTTTCACAATTGTTGTTCCATCTGGACTTATGGCATCAGTCGTTTCTCTGAGTTTAACTGCTTTGTTTGACATTCCATCACAAGTGTACCAGATTATTAGAATGATCTTTATTTTATTGTTCTCTACATTGTGTGTGTGTGTGAGAGAATGTGAGTGTATGTAATTCTATACATCGGCATTCGAACAAGAAAACACACACAAAAATCGTCAAAAAAGCCAAGTAAACAGATAGACAAATTCAAACACAGTGAATACAGGCGATATTCTGCATCACTAGCAATTTCAGCACTATATCGTGGCTGAAGAATTGATATCCAACCCACAATTGAAAATGAAGAAACGACCTTGTCTCGGTCCGTCCTTGATAATTGTCCAGGACGGACCGAAGCGTCGTAGATTCATCATTTCCAGTTACAGGGATTGATATGAATTTCAGCACCAGCTGTCCATTATAAGCCAGGGTCCATGGCACGCTTACCGCTCCTCCCACAACTCCCCGCAGATGGGCGCCAGTTTCTTGTGATGCGGGAGAGGTGAACCCTGCCTGGATCCACGCACAGCCCCCACCCACCCGACACCCGCGATACTACCCTCCTCAGGTCAGTGATGGATCATGAGCACAAAGTATTTTGTTGAGCATTCACACCATTCTAAAGTTTGGGCGTTTATTTTTCATTTCAAGCTCTCTTACTAATAAATTCAATAGTCACTAACGGAGGTATGGTTGAGCGGTTGCCGTACTTGGCTGGGAAACCAATGGTCCTAGTTTTAAGTAGTAGTTTATAGTCCGACTTTAGTTGCTTTTGTGATAGTGCGGACTTGGTTGTCCGAAACTGTTGGGGTCGAGATTACTACTAGGTGGACAGGAGCATTAGGTGACAGGAAACTTGCTTAATCAATTATGTCCCGCCCGGGATTTGAACCCGGAATTACAGATTGTGAGTCGAGAACGAATCCGACTGTACTACCGAGACCCTTCCATATATGTAGTGCTTCGCAATGTCTAATCTTCGATTGTCGTTGCATAATGCCGATTATTTCAGTGTTGGTTAAAAAGTCTGGTGGTGATCTGGATTTGTGTGTAGAAATCATACGTTCTTTGATGGAGTATTATTGTTTGTGCAAATTGCCAGGCGCCTTGAAAGAGATGTTGTCTTGCCTATATACTGAGATCGTTGGGACTGACAGTCCCCAAGTGAACATGCGCACGCATAGACAACATTAACATTCCCGAAACCAAGAGAATCGTTTTTAAAGAGAGTTCTTCGTGAGTAAGTAGACGATCTTTCGTCAACTTGTGTAGCAGATTGTCAACTCTTATCTTCTGGTTGGTATCGCTAAGGGTCACGTTTCTATCAATAATGTCTTTCAGGACTCTTTCCTCCGTTTTGTAAGCCGTGAAAAAGAACGCCTTGTAGAATAGTGTAATAGGTGGGCCAGATGTTGTGGCGTTGACCGTTCCATCGGAGGTAGCGTGGCGGGGAAACCCTTCCATTCCTACCCGTCCACGCAACACCTGAGGACTCGGGCAGGAAGACCGGCTGAACCACCTGTCTCCGGCTGTTGTTGTTGTTGTTTAAGATTCTGCTACTGGGAACAAAAAGTTCCCAGTAGCACGGGCTATGGTGAGCCCGTAATGGACTTACCTGGCACAGGAGCGGGGCTGTAACTGAGAGGGTGTCTCCGGCCTCTGCTCGTCTCTTTATACCGCTAACGGCACAAATCTTTCTCCAGTGAGAGGGGAGAGAGAGGGATAGAAATTTAAAGGAAGGAGGGGGGGGAGAGAGAGAGAATGGGGAAGGAAAGAGGGAGAGAGAAGGGAATAGTGAGTGAGTGTGTTCCTACTTCAAATTATAATCTTATGAAATAAATGAGTCTCTAGGGGGCAGGCCTCTGACGAGCTGAGGTAGAATAGCTCTGGCTTGCAGTTACACTAGAAACTTGAATTGATAGTCCCAATGAACCATAGTATTAGTTACAAACATCGTCACACACACACACACAAAAAAACAATGACAGTATAAGGAGGACAAGGAGGCAACAAAGAGAGTCAAGGAAGAAAAGCAAACCGAGAAAAGCAAAACCAGAAAATGAGAAACTATAGACAAGAATAAGAAAACCTGACAACAGAGAGTACTATAAAGCACTACAGAGGGAAATTGAGAGGCTGCACGGCTTAAAACTCCAAATTTTAAATCCCGAACACCAGTGCTTTGGTTGACCCTTACTGAAATGTCAAGTCAATTCACACACTTGCTTGAGTGAACCCTATATCCATCAAACTCAAGACCAATCCTGGCATCAAATGCTTCCTAGAGTTTTGTAATAGAACTCAATATTGGGTTCTATTACAAAAAACAGAAATGGAGTGCAAATTAAGGCTCCAAAATTATGGAATGAAATTAACAGCTGTGCTCATCTCACACCAGTTTGAAAGGGACTAAGAAATATCTTATGAACATCATGTAACAATTTTCACTCGGTTTCTCATCCTAAACAAGCAAATTTTATATTTTCCCGTTATTAAAAATATTAAATACCATATATGGTCTGGTACTAAAACTACAGGTTCTACAGCATAATATAGCATTCTGTGTCTCCATTGTTAATTTTTGTTTTAACCATTCATTTATATTCTCGATTTTAGCCTGAACTCGTTATTAAAAAAATAATTCTAGTAATCTGCATATTGTATTTCCAAGAGGTCTAAGTAAAGGTATCCTAGGCCTACTAATATATATATATATATATATATATATATATATATATATATATATATATATATATATATATATATATATATATATATATATATATATATATGTCGTACCTAGTAGCCAGAACGCACTTCTCGGCCTACTATGCAAGGCCCGATTTGCCTAATAAGCCAAGTTTTCATTAATTAATTGTTTTTCGACTACCTAACCTACATAACCTAACCTAACCTAACTTTTTCGGCTACCTAACCTAACCTAACCTATAAAGATAGGTTAGGTTAGGTAGGGTTGGTTAGGTTTGGTCATATATCTACATTAATTTTAACTCCAATAAAATAAAATTGACCTCATACATAATGAAATAGGTAGCTTTATCATTTCATACGAAAACAATTTGAGAAAATATATTAATTCAGGAAAACTTGGCTTATTAGGCAAATCGGGCCTTATATAGTAGGCTGAGAAGTGCGTTCTGGCTACTAGGTACGACATATATATATATATATATATATATATATATATATATATATATATATATATATATATATATATATATATATATATATATATATATATATATAATGCACACTGCTTGCACTAGGCTAGGTTTTTCTTGGCCTCGGCGGCTTCGTTGTGATGTATATATCGGCTGCAGATAAGTATTTCTTGTCTCTTATAGTTGATTTTCCTGTAAAAAAAAATTTCATGTTCTATTTTGACCTGCTCTTTAAAAAAAAATCGACAAGGGTTTCACAGTTGATTGGAATAACCTGACATTATTATTAAGGGAGCTAGGCTACCGTTCTGTAGCATTTTGCACTTGATTTACAAGTTCTAGTGAATTGCAGCAGCTTTTCTTTCTTTTTTGTCACGCCGCCTGAAGTGCCTCTTCACACCCCTTCCCCCACCCTGGGTGTGTAGGCACACCCAGGTTGGGAACCCTTATCATTGTAACACCATCTTACATGGTGAATAAAATGTATATCCCTACCACAATGGTCGTCATTATATCTAGTTCTTCGTTTTATGAGAGCCATTTGGGAGGAGACGGACCTTCCAGGTGGCTGGAGTTCAGGATCAAGAGCACACCGTTTTAACAAACTAAAACTATGGTTATGTTTCAGTGGTTGTGGTGAGCGGGTGGGACTCAGGCCCATGTGAGGCATGCGGGCGCCAGAGGGGTGGGGGCGGCGCGGGCGGGTGCAGCTGCTGTCAAGGGGGTCGCCGTGCCCCCTCCTCCTCTTCTGGGGACGCCCCACCACCCCTCAACGGTCACCTGCCACCGCCACCGCCATCCCAGCTGATCAAGGTGGTTGTGCTGGGCGCCACCGGAGTGGGCAAGACTGCCATCATCAAGGTACGTCTCCCAGCTCTGCTGCTGCCATTACAGGATACCCAACCAGTGGGTACCGACGCCCCCAGCTGTCATGTATTATTTATGTATTATTGGGCACTAACGCCCTCTAGTCCTCATATGTACTATGACTATACATCTTGTTTTACATGGCAAAAGTCGTATAATGGTGACCATATATTAGCACTTTCCCGCACCCCGCGCGCCACCCCTCGACAGGGTGATATGGGCCCCAGCATGTCACGGAAGCGCGCGTCAATTCCGAAAAGTATATACTCTCTTCAACTTTGTCACCTCAATTTTCGTTCTACGAGATTAAATTTGGTATCATTGTGTTCGCAATAAAATTCTCTACAGCATGAAATGCATATAAACTCCAAAAGCCCGGCTAATTACCCGCAGCAAGCAGAGAAAGTGCGAACGAGTTACCCAGGAGCCCACAAACGCGATAAAATGTTTTCACTATTTTCACTCTGGTCACCTCAATTTTTGTCCTAGGTCTTTCATTTTGGTCTCAATGGGTTCGTAATAGAATTCTCTAGAGGAATATTAGCATATAAAATAAAAAACCAGGTCACGCTCCAACCGCCGACGAGTTGAAGACGGGCCATGCGTTAGCCGTGAGTGAGCTCTCAGACGCCTTCCTCCTACACTCCCAATTCACGCTCACATATGTTTAGTATTATTTCCTGGTGGTAATCTCAATTTTCGTGTTACAGCGCTCATTTAGGTATGAAAATGTTCCTAATAGAATTCTTCAGATGGATATGTGCATATAAGGGCCAATTGAAGAACAACATTGCCTGTACAATACGGGAAAGTATGAACAAAAAAAAATAAATAAATAAATAATAAAAAAAATTGCACTTACCACCTCAGTGTTGTGTGTTGAACATTTGTTTTATCCACTCCACCTGCTCCTGGAAAACGTTTCCTGCAGGGTCAACCCATGTTTTGTATAGGTGAAGTGGATGGTGGGAGTTAGTCTCACATGCTTGTACTTCTCCTGTACACTACTCAGCTTCTGCTTTTCACGCCTTTCTTTCGCAATTTTCTTCCTGGAAGGGCCTTGTTCATGATCACTATCCATCGTGGAGTAAGCGTAGATAGTTTCTGAAGCTGCAGTAAGAAATATAGCCACGGAAAATAGCCGAAATGTTCACACGTTTGAGACGCGAGGGGAGGCGACACCGGTCACAACAGTGGAGCGAAAACAATGGGCCGACGGCTTGTGCCGCGCCGCCTGCGGGCCACTAGGCGCAACAAAGAAAATGGGAAGACATCGGCGCGCATTTTAAAACCAGTCCCAAAAAAATCGGATAAAAACCTGATTTTTGGCGAATTTTTAAAGTGGATGACGCAATGCTGCGTCATCCCCGGCATTACCGCCAGTAAACGGATGACGTAATGCTAGTCATCCCCGAGCGAAAGTGTTAAGTGTTCTTTCCCTGTCATATATTTCACTTATATTCTAAGAATATTACAATTATTGTAATACAATATTTGGTTAGAAAACTTACAGAAAACTATCTGAGAAAGCTTTCTCAGAGGCACCATGCTTGCTGTCTACCACAGGGGCACCATGCTTAAGCCCTTCAATATTTCATGTATAATTTAATGTTACTCGCTCAACGACGCTGCTGATCCTCTCACACACTGTTCAGAGTGTGAGTGTGTTCACTCTCACTCTGATCACACAGTGTGCCTCTACCCCTCCCTCCGTCTCAACCCATCTTGCTGATGATGAGACACACTCGCCCCCCCCCCTCCACCCCCAGGTCAGAATGCCATTCCCATGATGACTTTAGCCCCGCTACTCTCTACAGTCTGGCTAATCCGAACTCTTCCAACAGCAATTCGTACACAACGAGTTCCCAGCAAGCCACCAGCCAACCCGAGGCCGCGCCAACCACTGGCCCTCGGTCCTGGTCAACGATCGTGTCTACCAGCTCTGTATCGCCGATCTTCCTCCCATCAGAGGTAAGCGGGCGGTCCCACACCCGCAAGTAAATGGTCGCTCTTCTCAGGTAAGAGAGGCCTCCCACTTCGTTCTCGCCGTATGTGAAAAGTTACCTCTACTACCCATAAGAGGTAAGATGATGCCCATTTTCCTCATCAGAGATAAGAAGCAATCAATTACCCCCATCAGAAGTCAAGTGATTTTCATGTTCTCCATCAGAAGTCAAGTGATTTTCATGTTCCCCATCAGAAGTAATAGGCTACCTATTCCTTTTAATAGGGTACACTTACCTTCTATCTTCTACAGAAGCCCTCTGACTACTTCCTATTGAAGAAACACCATTTATGCAGTATGATATATATGTAATGGATAGGATCCATCATTCTAGTTCTAGGTGTTCTAGCTTTAGCAAGTTTACTAGAGTAGCCGTCTTAAGCTTTGAGCCACTAGAAGGCTGGATCCGGGAGTGTGCTGAGGGGACAATATTTTATGCATGTCAACAGAACTTGCATATAAGAGTACACGTACTGGGGAAATACTGAAAATACCACGAGAATTGTTAAAAACATTTCCAAACAAATGGGCAAGACAATAGATGAAAAACATGACAAATTTTTATTTATACAAATAGCCGAAGTATTATACACACAATGGACGATTTAAAAATCGATTTAATCGATCGACAATTTAAAATACGTGTGTGTATACACACTAGGTATTATTGTAAACCGAGAAACGTACAAGAATATAGATTCATGTGAACTGTTAATCAAATAAAAGATTACTGTGTATAGTTTTTAATACTAATAGAACAATTAGAGAGAGGAAGATGTGGGAAGTTGTAGACTTTGTAAGATATATTAAATCTACCGTCTAACTTTGCATCAAAAGAGAGGCTTACATAAACCATTTGTTAAAAATACAACAATGAAATCAAAACCTGTTATGAATCATTCTTATGGGCAACAAAGTAGACAGAATGAAAGACATTTATTTTGGAAGAAAAAACTAAAGTTTCTTATTATAAGTTTGTAGTTGGAGATAAACATTTTGATAAAATGATATTGAATTTACCAAACACACAATACTGAAACCGGAGATTTCTTGAAGTTCACCTGTAATTGCCTCATTAGACAATTTGTTTCTGAACTCATATGAATTGGCAATATTCTTGATTTAGTCTAAGCTAGCCAAGAAAACGTAATTGCTAATGGCAGAGTAGGGAGCAAATTAGATAATAGCAATCACAATCAAATTCTGATTAAAACTGAATCGAGAAATAATAAGAGACAAAACGTTATAGGAGTCGAGGATTTTCAAGAGCAATGTGTTGCCTAAGCTTAACGAGTGTCCTGATAACAGTAAATGGAAGCTGAAGCTTGTTTACTGGCATGAAGCTGCTCGAGTAACACACAGTGTAGGTATTCTTGGATCAAATAATAATGACCCTAAATAAGTACGTAATTAAAGTTTAGGGATATTCTTTGTCAAGCGTTTTAGAAACACTAAAAAAGAAGAGGCGATGAGTCACAATAACGTGGCTAAAGTATGATGACCAGACCACACACTAGAAGGTGAAGGGACGACGACGTTTCGGTCCGTCCTGGACCATTCTCAAGTCGATTGTGAAGAGGAAGTAAATGCAGGCAATAAATAGGCTAGAGAAACTCTACTACACTTTGCTCCTCACCTTTCTCTAGCCTATTTATTGCCTGCATTTACTTCCTATTCACAATCGACTTGAGAATGGTCCAGGATGGACCGAAACGTCGTCGTCCCTTAACCTTCTAGTGTGTGGTCTGGTCATCAAAGAGAGAAGAGAGCTGCACTGTAAGTTGTAGCATAAAATAGTTTCCGTCACCAAGATACTATAGAGCGTAGTACAGTAACCAGTTCTGGATGCAAATTGAAAATCACAGCTGTCCAGTTCGCCAGTTAAAAGATTTAAAATCAATGAATATATACTCAGATACTTGATACTTGATCAGATACTCAGATCCCACATGGTTTGGTCAGCACTGTCCACTAGTCTGTTGCGGCGATGGTCTTATCAGATCCCACGTGGTTTGGTCAGCACTGTCCACTAGTCTTGCGGCGATGGTCTTATCAAAGACCAAAGACTTATGATTGGAAGTTGTGTGGAATGGTAACAAGCAGAGGTGTTTAAGAGGTTTATGAGATATGAAGATGTCATGGGAGAGTGAGCCTATAAGACGTACAATTTCGACATTCCATGTTTAAGGTTGTCAGAATAGATGTTAAAGAAGCTGCTATAACTCTTATTTTTAAGATCTCTCTGCAGTTTACTCAACCATTACAGGTGTTCACAGTGTGATGTACATGTTGCTCCTATTGTTCAACACCAGGAGCCAGATGTACACAAGTCCCACGTGCAGCTGGGTCACCTTCATTATCTTCTGACCTTTATATAGAACTGTTATAATGTTCAATATTTAGAATTGAAATCATTACCTAGATTACAGGGTACATAAATTAGCCACCATTTTCATTAACTATATATATTTTTGAATTTCCCCGCAAAACTCTCAAAACTTCATTCTTGAAAGGCTTCCAGTAACCTTCCCGTTCATAGTATTACCGTTTTGTAATCCTTTTAGTTATTTCATGATATTAAGCTCTCACGCTTGATGTGATCTAGGGCAGCCAGCCATCTTTGGAGCACTCGCCATCTTTCCACAAGTCAGGCCAAAATATAGATCTATTTTGGAGTTCCCTAATGTGACCATTCCTTTTAGCGTTGAGAGAGAGAGAGAGAGATTTTTCCCCACGCTGACTACCACCGACATGACAGATGCAAACAAATAATTGAGGCATTTCGTATGCAAATTGCACTGTAAATTAGTGCAAACAATTGTACTAGTTGGAATTTGAGTATCAAACTCGCCATTAAGCGGCCACTTCACATTACAGCAACAGTAGCCTGCTTTTGTTTTAGATGTGTTCTAAAGAGGATACTGTCATCACCGCAGCGGCAGTTTGCGGGCGAGGTATACTGAAAGCTATAACGGGGATATACCAGGACAGGCTGGTATATTTAACCGGGCTGTGATGGGTATGTGGGCTTGCGGGCCGCTCCAAGTAATAGCCTAGTGAACCAAGCTCTCACAAGTCTAGCCTGGCCCTCGGGGAGTACAAATCCTCCCAGTACCTCATCAAGCAGGTATCATGCAGGTTATCACCGTCACTGATAATCTTATACCCAGAAATGTAACCAGTTAGATCAACATTAGTTAGAAAAAGTTAATGCATACTCTCTCATTTTTCATTAATCTTAAGTCACATAGCACTGTTTGAATGAGATTTTGTTTATCTTTTGTTCATATCCATAAGAAGGTGATATAAGATTCAACTAAGAGGGTCAATTATGTTAACAAAAACAGGTTCTCAGTGTAACCATCAGTATTCCTGCCTATATTGGGCATATGTGATATGGCAAGGTTTGACTACTGCCACATGGACCCAACAGTGTGTGTGTACATTATTAACCTGGCTTGTGGCTGTGTTGTCTTAATCTTAGTCTTAATCGTCATCCTTGTTTCCGGGTACTGAGAACCGTGTTTTCATCAGTAATTGAATTATGTGATTCACACAAGGTGAACGTTCTTTAACTATTCAACTGGACATTTAAACTTAAATAATTCGGTGCACAAATTTCAGTGCCCACGTGTATTTGTTATTGGTCATTTATATTAACAAGTGTCCAGCTGGAAGAATCTACAGCTGCAGAAACAGTAAGGAACAAGTTCTTAGTTGCAAGGTCTGTGAGACTCATTTGAGAGATTTCCCTGTTCTTCTAAGTGACTATCTCAGACACATAGGTACACTGTAAGACCATAAAACCTCTTGTTGTAATGCTAAGACTTATATCAGATTCGTTAGAATAATAGCTGCGTTTGTAACATAAGCTTTTCAACAGTTTAAAACCTTATGTTGATCATATCCATTGGTGCATCATGATACAGTGCTCATTAACTTTCTCATAGTAAGGATAAATTGAAGAAAACCAGCCATGGTTATACAACTATCATATTTTTAACATCTTACAATGAGTCTGACCGGAGTACTGATCGCGTGTTCCTCCCGCAGCCTTCCCGCAAAATTCCTTCACCGAGTGGGCCGACTACCGCTTCTACGGCCTCAGGTCAGCCATGGCTTACGTCTTTGTGTTCGACCTCACCTGCTACGAGTCCTTCACACACATCAAAGCCCTGAGGGACCAGGTGAGTCCACAACCACCTAACTCGACTCTCTAGGAGAAATAAGCTCAGTTATACTGTGTGCGATCCCATAATGCTCAAAATTTTGATTAAATAACTGTGCCAAATATGAAGCTTAGTCGGGCCTTTGTTTCTGTTGACTCTTGCCTTTCTCAGTACATTGTTAGATGTTATAATCTTCTTAGCAAACCTAATCTGACTGATATTTGCCCCTTTGTGCTCTTCTTGTATCTCTTCTGTTTCTATTTGTTTGAGTCTTTACTTTTATTCTCTACATATGCAAAAGTGCAGCTGCAACATGAACTAGACCAATGAATGAAAACCAATAGCAACGACGAACTCGGGACCAACATGGACCGATGCCTCAACAGTCTTACAGACCGTCATCGCCACAACACCGAGACAAGGTCCACACTCAAACTGGCGTCTTCATTTTGAGGTCCCTTTGTAGTTCTCTGTTCTAAGAGATGGCTCTGAATCTCACTAGAATCGACCTCACTGAGGGCCAAATCACTCTCTTCAATCTTGGAATAAACTGCCTCGTTATGTCTAGACCAAGTGACAGCCGAGAATGTAGACTTGTAATCTTGCTAGATGACATTTGATCTTGAAAAGCAAAGAAAGTTCACCACTAAGGACAAGTAGAGCTTCTGGTAGAGGGAAGAAAGACATAAGGTAACTCCAGCAGCACATTACTGCTTCCTGAGCTCAAAGCAGCAGCTAAGAACCTTTGTGAGAATTAGGAATTGTTAGGATTATTATAATATATTGAGAAAATAAATCTCATCTTTGCTGACGAAACTAGATTCCAAAGAATCACCAGAGATGCAACTGCGGAATTGAACATTTGGTGATGAACGGGATAGCTTGAAACTGTTAAAGCCAAAAAGTCTGGACTTCGCCTGCCGAAAGTTACTCGAGAGTTGAAGCCTATGAAACTGTCAGGACCCACAGGCATATCAAGACCTGTAAACCCTCTTTGTCCGATCATCAGCCAGATACGTACACCCACACCCACTGGCTTAGCGACTGAACACCCTGCTGATTCCATGTATGTAATATGCTTTCAGCCTTAAATCCCCAAAGAAATTTGTCGACTTATTGTAAGGGTCACAGGCATCAGGTGTTAAACATTCTCTCGATATCGAATCTGTTCACCAATGAGCGCATGGATAAGGCAACTGGATTACTGAAGAAAGTTTGTCAGGATCTAGTTTGCGCTCTCCTGGACATCCAGAATGCATACTGAGGCAGCTGCTTGAAGTATGTACTAAAGAGACATCTTTCCCGAGCCATAATGGTCTCGTGTACAAACAAATATGTGGTGTCACCATTGGTTCCCCCTCGGAACCAATAGCTTTTTTTTACATGGAACTAGTGAGGAAAAATTCCTTGTTGATATAGACCTAAAACTTGACATCCGCTGTATGTATGTAGGACATTCTCGCAGGTACCTGACTTGGAACGCTTGCTTCAACTTATAGAAAATTCCAAACAAAGTTCCATGCTAAATTTCACTTAAGAGATGGAGAGTGAAGGTAAGCTTCCTTACCTACATATGCCAGTCTCGGAAAGGAATGGTGACTTTCACACTGCAGACTACACTAAGGGAACTAATATAGGAATGTACATAATATTTTAGTAAATGTCCTGATAGATAAAAGCGAAGTGTTGACGCCTATGTTAACCATGCTCTCACACACACCTCCAGTTAACTCACACACACAGGGTTAACTCGGAACTCTGTGTAATACAACATTTTCTTATCGACAATACATACTCTAACGGATACATCAAAGAGATCATTAAAAGGAAGGTGAACCACCTTGCTACCTATGATGACATGACCGGCACTACAGAATCTGTCCCACCTATTAAACTCTTGTACAAGAACGTATTTTCAACGGCTCAACATGGAAGAGGCCTGAAAGACAATTGACAGAAACGCGATCCCTACTAACATTAATCAGAAGATACAGTTTAAAGTGTACTACAGGAGCAAGAAAATCTCTAAGTTATTCAAGAACAACTACCCCAACAGCAAGTGAAACGCCTTAAAAGATGAGTGTCGTCTATGCCTTTACATACCCACTTGTAGACTGTCGGCCCTCAACGATGTCACTATATAGACAAGACAACATATTTTTCAAGGCGTCAAACTATGCAGAAATAAGGCTCCGTTAAAGATCATATCTACATACAATCAGACCATCACCAGAGATATTCCCACCAACATCACCGGAATAATCGACAGACACAACGAGAATGAAAAGACTAGAAATAGCTGGAGTACTGCATACCAGCCACATGCGCCTATCAACAGCCAGCTTACTCTTAGGTACACTTTACTTTCCTCTACTGTAGACCAGAGGTTCCTAACATTTTTGGGGCTAGCGGCCCTTCTATCTAATACTCAAAAAGACCTGCGAATCCCTACACTTTCATAATTAAAAAATTGCCTAAATCAGGATACTCACCACTTGATAACGCTCGATGATGGATATACCGATTCAGAATTTGAGTTCTGCCACCCATTGGTTGGGAAGCTCTGGGGAAGTGGTTCACAACTTGTGGGAGAGTAGTTCCCCAGACCAAGAGAGAGCTTCCTTTCTATACCTCACCGACTGCCAGAGCTGACGTCGGCTACATAACTCCTTACTTCACTTTATCCTAATTGGTGTATATAATGTACCCCCAGCCGTCATGCATCCACTGCCTCCGTAGATGTTGAGACCTTTTTAACGAAACGCGTCCTTCAACGACACACGTTAAGCCATACAAGACTGTAGCTTCAACAAATCTGCATCCATTTCCCCCCCTGTCTTTGAAGATGTTAAATGCTTGAGTGAAACTCATCATTTAGCGTTAGGCGAAATAAACTTTTAAATTGAACTTTGGAGAGTTAATTTTTTAACTTATTGAAGTACATGAGAAATATAAGTAAGATTCGTGCTAGAATCTTTTATCGTTGTCATATTCAATAGCACAAACACAAATGTGATATTCTTGAAATATAGTCTTATGAAATATATGCCATTAATAATTATCCTTGTGTCCTTCAGGACACATTCTTGTAATAATACAACCTTCTGGAGACGTGAGAGAGCGTAGTAAAAGTGTGTTCTGTGGCAGGTATACGAGTCCCGGGACATGCGCGAGGTGGGCGTGGTGGTGGTGGGCAACAAGCGGGACCTGGTGGAGGCGACGGAGGCCAGAGAGAAGCGAGAGATACGCGACGTTCCGGCCATCGTCCGCAAGCAATGGAAGGCTGCCTATGTGGAGGTGTCGGCCAAGTGTAACTGGCACGTGGTGGCGGCGTTCAGGGAGCTTCTGCTGGCCGTTGAGGACGCCCAAGCCCACACACACGCCCGCCCACACAACCTACACGAACTCCATGAGGCGATCGAACACTCTAAATGTACTATATTGTGAGATACCGCGGAGTGCCCTAGGTGCATTATTTATACTATTATACTAAAGCTTAACTGAAGAGTTAAGCAACATGTTAATGGTTGATCGTTCAGATAATGATAAATTCCTCGACTTTCCACCCGCCCCAACGACTGTTATATTTATCTCTCGAAACGCACAAGTAGTCTCAGTGAAGGCGGGCAGCCGGCGTGCAGCAGTGTCCACCCGCGGCTCACTGCTGCTGCACGCTCACCCCTGCTGCTGCTGCTGCTGCTGCTCCACTATCCAAGCTTCTGCAAGAGGCCGCCCGGCGTCAACATCTTTGCAAATCACAGACATACGAACAGAGACAACTACAGTATCGTCAGAGTATGTTATTTTTATTATAAAAAGAGTGTTTCCTCTGATAAGTCGATTTCTATTGGACAGGAATATTTCATCTAACTTTTATACGAATGAAGGCCAATACTTGTACAAAACTTGGTGTAGACAGACGAGGCCTGCACCCCGGCTGCTACTCCCGACCACAGCTGCTCTTCTCTATCAACTAAACTATCTCAGTTTTCCGAATTTCGATGGGCTGTCGCTCAAGTACACTTCTAATTAGTTCATCAGGAATATTAATTACAATAGAAAATTGTATAAAACACATTGAGAGCTGCGATCACAATGCAAACAGTAGCTTAAGAGTTATGATTAAATTCCTCAAGCAATATTCAACGTGATCTGCAGCGTACTCCAAGTTTCATCTTTCCCTTCTCGCCACATTAAAAAAAATTGTCTGTATAGATATACACAAAATTATAATTATATTTCAAGTTCCCAGGGGAAATAATAATCCATCTCTTTGCTACAATATAAGGTATGCTCGTGAATACAGCAAAGTCATTTATATATTTTGTTAGTTTTAGTATATCTCATTGTATTTGCTATGTTTTCTGTTGTATTTCAGTAATGCATTACTGCCCATTTCCCTTGAGTTGAGGAAAACTGATAAAATAACGACAGGTATGACTATTTGACGTGTGACCACCACCGATAAGGAATACTGATGACCATGACTACAGGAACTGAGTGTTCTCTGAGAGAGATGAATTTACAACTCGCGAACGGTAGCGGCGCTGAAAGCTTGGTATTGCTACGCTCTATGTCTACCGCATATAGTTTGCTATGTAGGTAATATCTTAATGTACTTTCTTTTACAATTTGATTATTGTAATTGGTAATTTAAAGTCAAAACTTAACGCTAGTGAAGTTTATAATAATGGAGAGGCAAGACTTGTAGGGGCGAGTGGAGGGCTAGGCTGGTAGTTAGGTGTCGTCAGGTTTGGTGGCTAAATAGCCATTTAACCATTGTTTCCTTTTGACGGACTGGGCAGCGAGGTGCGCATGCCAATGGTCGTGTGACAACAGTTTAAATGATGCAGCCTGCAGTACACAGAGTAATAACATGAACCTTCATTACTTGCGTATTGCAAGAGTCATCCATCCATTTTTAAATGTAGAAAAGAAATTACACCGTGGGTAAAGTGTCACTCCAACCTCAACGTTGTTTAATTTGGCTAGGAAGCTAGGTGACTATTTAGTATGCATATAAAGGTACGTAACAATCTTGTACATTGATTTTTACTGCATTTATTGTTGAGAAACGTGGAGAGTGAGATAACTCGGCCTGTCATCCAGCACTATAATATCTCTAGTTACAATGGCGGGAGAAACAAAATATGGATTCTTGCTCACTCAAAAGTGTCATATTATACACACACACGCGCAATATATTATATTATATTATATATAATATATATATATATATATATATATATATATAATATATATATATATATATATATATATATATAATATATAATTATTCCATCATTATTCATTAGTAGCTGCAAGACCTAAAATTTTGGGAGGATGGGTTGCGGTAATCTCAACACCTCGATTAGGCTACTGTTCGGACGAAGGACCTACATGCAGTTCTCACCCCAATTTTGGACTTTCATTTTTTACCATTTTAAACGAAGGGTTTGTTTACCTGTGTACAACGAGCTTCAGATCTATTAGACATGATATATTGACCATATTCTAACTGCAATTTGTCATCATTAAATAATTATTAGGTAGTAACTAACAGTAATATTAAATCTCGGTGCCATATTTCTTCCTGTATTTTTAAATTCTAATTAATTTTCCTCGTGACTGAGAGCGATGCAAAGTAAATCAGGTTTATATATTAACAAAGCATTTATTGTTGTCATAGTGGGAACGATCACTTAAGTACTCGGCGACTCTGAGCCAATAACTGTTCAATAAAGAGGGTTTTCCTATGCAGGACAGCGAGATAATGGATAGAAACCGTATTGACCTAACAGTGGGGTTCGTCGCCGATTCTGATGCCGAGTCTGTTCTTGTGAGTTGTGAGACTGTGTGGACCATGAAGCCTAGCGGGTGAACCAAGAGAGGATACCTGCTTACACCACCTTATGACACTACGCAAGTTATTTGGGCACAATTTGAACATTTTAAGTCATGTTATACGTCCGTTTATACTGATTGCTGGAAGCCACTTTGGTATTTCAAAATAGAATTTTCCCGGGAACCATATATTATTGATAATTTTTATGAGAAGTCAAAGCTTCCAGCTATATTTAAAATTCTAGCTATCCTCATGACTGAAGGCGTTGCCAAATAAATCATATTATATTAAACTGTGGTAGTTGTGAAATGATTAAGTGCTAAACGAGTGTGATTGATTTATGGTAATGATAATATAAAAAAAAATCAACCGAAAGTTCTTTTCTTTATTCTTTATTCAGAAAGTCACAATGTACATTTTATAACTACCAGTAACTTTTTAAGGTGACAGAAGACTGAAAAACTTGCCCGGACACAATGATGCATGCAATTCATACTAATGTTCATAAAATATACAATGGTTGTCATATTTTGAGTGGTGTTAACAGCCTCGTCTCTGAACCCCGCTAACACGGTCTCTCGGCGCCAAGAGCAGCTCCCTGCCCTGCTCCAGTTGGGGCTGCACAAATCCCGTTATTGCGAATAATTGTATTATGTATGTTAAGCAAATATTATATCATGTTACAGCTAAGCGCACTTGTATAATTATGTAATTATTTTGTATGTAGAGTATGTAAGGTTGTATTGTATGTTGAGGGGGGAGGGGGAGGTAGCTGGAGCCAGAGTGAAGTACCTGGTGGCTGGCTACAGCACCACACACCTGTACCTCACCCTACAGCTATCAGTGTTGTGTAGAGGTAAGGTATTGCTTACACCACAACAACGGTGAAACCTCACATCTGCACTACAAATGCTGACTGGTGAATACAGCAATTCATGCCATGTATATCCAGGCTCCTCAACCAACATTCCTAATAATTGATTATTAACAAAAGCAATTCTATTTGGATTTCGCAAAATTATAGTCAATTAGGAAGGGAGAGCGCCTAGATTTGGTTAATGATTAGAATACGTGCTCCATCCACGGTTGTGGACTACCCACTGATGGCTTGGATTACTGTCAGGCTTCTCTTTACATTAACAATGTTTTAGGGACAGTGCCTCTATGTTATGGGCAGACTCACCCAATCACTGGCGTCACTGTAATGTTAACCCAAAGATCATAGCGTAACAAACAAACAACCGATAAAGAAAAAAACAAGAGCACCTACAAGATAACTGTAGCCCTTTTTTCGCAAACTTGTCTATAAAACATGTCAATATTTTTAAATACCATGGTGTTTGCGGTCAATTTATTTCTAGTTCTATGTTCTGACAAATTCGACCACATTAGCTGTAGTGTTGTCACAAAATATATATACAGTATACTCTTAATAATCATAACACCCAATCCAATACTATGCTATCTAATTCTGATAGACCTTTCCCGTTATGTAGGTCAAGTGGAGGTGTTGACAGATGGGTGACGCCAGGAGAGGAAGAGTCTTGCCCAGGTGTAAATAGCTACCTGTGCTGTAAGGTTCTCACACGATCAAGGAATTCTCAAAGTCTCATGGTCTTGGTCGAGTTTCTTCTCCGAGGAAAGGTAGAGGAGAATCTCTCTCTCTTGAGTCCCATGTCACTATTATCGTCATACGAAAAGGCAAATGAGATAAATTTGAAACCCAACCAAGAATTATTTAATATTACAAATGTGATTATAACATTTTAAATTGAGAAGATTTTTCAGTTTTAATATATAATGATGCCTGTATGTTTCGCAGAATGATAGATGTAGATGTAAGCATCAAATGTTAAGGTATGTTGAAGCAAACACTGTAATGATAGCATGAACAACAATCGAAAAAGAACCTTGAGAAGAGTTCTGGAAAAGGGAGTATTCTCTGAAATTCAGTAGATAAAGGCAATAATGTCAATAGTTTAGCTGTGGCCGCATTTCTCGACGATGTCTCTGTTATATTTGCTGAGGAATTCTAAGCTGTTAGAGGACGGGCCAGATTCACGAAGCAGTTACGCAAGCTCTTAGGAACGTGTACATCTTTCCTCAATCTTTGATGTCTTTGGTTACATTTATTAAACAGTTTACAAGCATGAAAACTTGCCAATCAACTATTGCTATTGTTATAAACGGCCTCCTAGTGCTTCGGAGCTCATAAACTGCTTGATACTTGTAAACAAAGCCGCCAAAGATTGAGAAAAGATGGACAGGTTCGTAAGTGTTTGCATAACTGCTTCGTGTATCTAACCCCTGATACCGGGATCAGCCCTCACTCATACCAGGATGAGGGGTGAGTGGTTTCCTAACACCAGTCACCTCTCATACCCCGAGGTGCAGCAGCGAAGAGGTCAACCTCACTATGAGCGGAAGTGTAGCGCGCATGCGTGTTTTAGGGAGCGTCCTGTGGGAGCATGAGGGAGGGAGGGGAGGGTGTTAGTGTGTTAAGAGTGTATTTGGGCGTGTTAGATAGCCTCCCGAGTGTCCAGAAGTGTCCTGGGTGTGTGATTGCTAGGAAGAGTCTAGGGCGTGCGAGCGCATCTTGGGTGTGAAAGGGAGCATGCTGGGTGTGTGCTAGGGAGCATGCTGGGTGTGTGCTAGGGAGCGTGCTGGGTGTGTGCTAGGGAGCGTGCTGGGTGTGTGCTAGGGAGCGAGCTGGGTAGGGAGCGTGCTGGGTGTGTGTTAGGGAGCGTGCTGGGTGTGTGTTAGGGAGCGTGCTGGGTGTGTGCTAGGGAGCGTGCTGGGTGTGTGTTAGGGAGCGTGCTGGGTGTGTGTTAGGGAGCGTGCTGGGTGTGTGTTAGGGAGCGTGCTGGGTGTGTGTTAGGGAGCGTGCTGGGTGTGTGTTAGGGAGCGTGCTGGGTGTGTGCTAGGGAGCGTGCTGGGTGTGTGCTGGGTGTGTGCTAGGGAGCGTGCTGGGTGTGTGCTAGGGAGCGTCCTGAGGAGTGCGGTCACCTAATAGTTGTTTCCCTCCGTCTCAATGTTCCGTCTCTGTCTTCACTACCAACCTCTGGGTCAGGTGCGGCTCGGGTCATCTCGGGTCAATTACACCTGGATCTGATAACCATCACGTCCTCTCACACGGCCACTGGTTGCTACAGTAAACCACCCTTGCTTTAAAGCTCAACAATATGTTGATGTGTTCGTAATGCAGACGATGAGTCACAATAACGTGGCTGAAATATGTTGACCAAACCACACACTAGAAAGTGAAGAGACGACGACATTTCGGTCCGTCCTGGACCATTCTCAAGTCGATTGTGGTCGAAACGTCGTTGTCCCTTCACTTTATAGTGTGTGATTTGGTCACCATGTGTTCGTAATGTATACTATTCATAGTCATTCATTCTGAAGGGCATTTTGCATTGTCTGAGATTCATAAAACGAGGCAAAAATGTAACTCAAAATATGGAGTTCACGGGCTGTAAATTCCCCCGGGAGAAAGTATATAGAGCTATGAAACTACTTTATATGGTAATTTGTTGACTCCTCGCAGACTATTGGAGGATTATCAATAATAATATTTGGTCTGTCACTGGGCCGCAATGTTGATAGCACTGAGGAAGGGACGTACACTGGACTGACAATCATGATGCACCTGTAGTTTGCTTGTGTGGGCCACTGTTTTATACTCTCTGGGAAATGGCTTGGGAATTCTACAGCCACTATTTGTCGCTTTTACTTCTAGTTAGAACACTGCTATGACCAACATTCGTCCTGCAGTTCCAACATGACCTGTAGCTGACCCGCGTGACCTACCCTGACCAATGATAACGAATTTTTGTTTTGTTATGGGGTGGAAGCCGCCCTGGACGTTGTTGTGAGGGGGTGGGCGGGCCAGGGGGTGGGGAGGGTGTGGGGTAGGGGGAGTCTACCCACCTCTCTCTCCTATATCATCACAGTACTCAAGTATACACCAACCGGGGAAGTTAGTAATACACGCAGCAGCAGCAGCAACAACCTAATCAATCCAACACCCCACAAGCCATACCCGTTATTATCACGGTGTAGTGATCTCCTCCGCCACCATGACCTACACCACACCGTCACCACACACACCATGACCTACACCACACCGTCACCACACACAATGACCTACACCACACCGTCACCACACACACCATGACCTACACCACACCGTCACCACACACACCATGACCTACACCACACCGTCACCACACACACCATGACCTACACCACACCGTCACCACACACACCATGACCTACACCACACCGTCATCACACACATGACCTACACCACACCGTCACCACACACATGACCTACACCACACCGTCATCACACACATGACCTACACCACACCGTCATCACACACATGACCTACACCACACCGTCACCACAAACACACCGCACACCATGACCTACACCACACCGTCACCACACACACCATGACCTACACCACACCGTCATCACACACATGACCTACACCACACCGTCACCACAAACACACCACACACCATGGGTAATATGACTCGCCTACTAAGTATAGCCACTAGTCACTCATATCTTACCTATTATCCACTTTCGATTTGGCCAACCATGGCTCCCCTTATTATACACTTCTTGACTCACCTGCCATTTTCGGTTCTTAACTTACTCACCCTTGCCTCATCTACATTCCACGATGTCCATTATTCATTGCATCCAATTCACTATTTCCCCACCATAGCATCACTCACCCTTGGCCTTCCCCATCCTCCATCCTAAGCTTCCCCATCACTCACCCTATATTCACCCACCGTTCGCCCTGGGCCCGCCCATTTCTTGTCAGATAAGTAAATAAAAAAACACTACATACTTCGCGTTTTATTGAACCCTTAATATTGTCTTACAAGCGTATTAAGAGACATGTCTACTGATGGATCATGTTTGTGTCATTGTCAGCTCTACCAGTGGACGCTTTCAAAGCGCAACACCAAATCTACGTCATGAACGTTGATTCAACGTCGAAACAACGCCACTCTCGACTGTTGTGCTTACTGGGCTTGAAATGACCTCGAGTAGATCTAGAGATCTACTAGATCACACTTGGCCTGCCCGAGCAACTCTGGAGGATAGGTGGGCACGAGGAGGGGGGACACCCAGACTGACGGTCCAGGGTGACAGGCCTCCTCGGAAATGGACGGTCAAGGGACGGTAAGGACAGAAACTGTGGAGTGAATTTAATCAAAGACAGCGTCAGAGGGAGGATCAAGGGCCACGTGAATCTCCATAGCCGGGTCAATCGACTCTACAAAAAGAGATGGGCGGAGAGGCAGGGACAGAGCCGGAGGTGGAAAGCAGGGAATCGACCGACGCCTTCTCACCAGCTGGGGAGGAAGATGGAGGGGGGGGGGAGGGAGGGAACTATCAGGGGGGAAAGCGCCAAGCCATTACAAACATTATAGCAAGGAAGAAGATGGAGAAGAGCCAGGTTTATGCTTCTGACAGAGATACAGGCGTGCCAGCAGCAATGTACTGTGCGACGAGGAGAGGGCATGTATCCTCCTGAACAGAGAATCTGACAAGGATAACAGAGGATGGGAGGGACCAACCGTCAAGTGATTTTTAACTAACGTAAAGACTGACGACGACCACGAGGGGGTCAAGTAAACGTATCAATCTGGAGGATAGAAAGGTCTTGGGCCTCAAGAATATACTTAATATCCGGGTGCAGGCGATGAGTCACAATAACGTGACTGAAGTATGTTGACCAGACCATACACTAGAAAGTGAAGGGACGACGATGTTTTGGTCCGTCCTGGACCATTTAAGTCGAAGACCGAAACATCGTCGTCCCTTCACCTTCTAGTGTGTGGTCTGGTCGACATACTTTAGCCACGTTATTGTGACTCACCGCCTGCAAAGACTTCTTTCTCCTCAGCCCTGGACACCCAACCATACACCAAGGGCAGCCCCTCACAGGCTGCCCCCTCCAGTGGAAGGTCCAATGACCCGAACAAGATCCACACGGGTGTGTATCTTGGCACGTACAACACCCGGAGAGGGGGCCAAGGCAACCCTCACCGGCTCCAAGCATTCGTACATGAGAGCCCCCCCCCCCCCCACCACCACCACAAGGTGACAATTTGAAAGGTGAACTCTAGAGCATAATGGCTGCCTTCAAAAGCAAGAACTTTTATCAAACTAATAAGATAATTACATATTTTCCCCCATGGAAGGCTGTGTTATAGGGTATTCAAGAGTCCGTAAATATCATCCAGGATGTCAACACGAGAAGACAAATTATCGATCGATATAAAAGGAATCAGATTGACCTGACGGGTTGGTCAGCAAGGAATGTTCATGGGCTTTAAAAACCCAATTGTTGATTGGCCTTAACAAGGGCTACACCATGGCACCACACTCCTGTAGCTACACCATGGTCCTGTAACTACACATAATGAATTACATCATACTCGCTGACGGCTCCAGAGGTGCCTCAAATCGTCACTGTTTACTGTTTAATAAATGCATAGTTATTGCCTTAATGACGTAAATGAATAAAGTAGCTCTTCAGTAAGTTCGCGTCACCATGTCATCGCAAGGTAACCACAGAGATCGTTCATGCGCACTTTATCATTTAATCAACCTACAGTGAAAGCGTAATGCATCAAGTTGTCATGCTAGGACAGCAATTATTAACTGAAAGCCCCAAGCCCGGAAGGCTATGGAGCACCGTCTGTCACAGAATATTTAGGAAATTACAGAGTAATTGGCCCAAGAGGTTGGGACTCCTGTGTTGCAGGACGATCAGAAAGTCTCTAGATATACACGGTTGTCAGTGCGAGAGATGAAAGGCTAAGTTGTAAAGCTACAATCATATCTAGCCGAGTCCTCTCACCGAGTACTTTCCTGCTGCTGCCGTTACCGAACACGTGTGATGAGAGATGGTTGCTCTCACTGTCTCTAATAGCTGATGTGTGCACTACTGTGCCGAGCCAGCCGTTGGACATTGCTTGTGAAGATACAAGTGAAATGCAGCCTGGACATCTTTTTGTTTATAAGAGACTGTCGGCAGTTTCATCGTCTTCACTACCACAACTAGCTTGCTGGACTCTGAAGCTTATTGGCTCAAAAGACATCAACAGGTTGGAAGTGAACGATGCTGAAGTCCAGGTAGTATTGCTCAAGCTTTAATTTGGGTTCACAATCCCAAAATCTTGATCCTCCTGTGTTAGTAATGAGGCCACCGAGCCCTCAGGTAGGCTCAACACGCCAACAGGTAGCTCACAGCCGCACTTGTATGTTAAATTACCAATGACTATGCCTGCAGGACACAGAAAGCAGTAATGTCATTTGTACGCGATATGCAGTGATAGTCATCAAGATATGCATGAAAAATATACATTTATGGAAATCTTTAATTAAGTATTTACAAGTTACATTCAGTATATGCAAAAGTTGTTTTCATTTAAATTTTACTGATATTTCCAAAGAAATATGAATACATTATAATAATATGAATATAAAGTGGATGTAAGCCAAGCTTCGGTCATAGCAGAGGAAATGCAGGTACTAAACTAGATAGTTTGTGTGGCGTCTTGGGTCAATGGATCACGTGCCTGGGGTGGGCTTGGGGTGGGCTTGGCGTGGGCGTACTACTGCTAGACAAGAGCGGCAGAGAATACTTATCTCACAGGAAGTCTGATTTTCCACAACAGTTCCCGTAGACGGAGTAATGTGGGGTGTTGGGTGTTTGTTCGGGGTAGCGTTGGTCAGCTCGGGCACTCAGTGAAATTGCTATGGAGTCTAGGTTAACATTCCAGTGTCTGCGGACCCACGAGAGTGACCGTTGGACGTGTCTGGCTACCATATCCAGCGTGATGAAACTGCCGCCAGCCCGCCAGGCGTCCCGCCAGGCAACCACCTGCGCCCCCGCAAGCGCCTCCTCCACTGCATGACTTGGGCGGGAAATTCTTTGCCTCCGCAGCGGGATGTCAGCTCGCTCACCCACGATATTCCGATCAGATTCTTCATTGACTTCATCCCTGAAAGCAAGTATGCTTTCTTTCTTTGTCAGTCAAATGTAAAGAGACCAGCACTACTCTATTGCCCACGCCCGGTAATACAGCTACTGGGAACTACCCGGTGGGTGAATAGTAATAAAATTATACAACGCTGGTGAGTTTAATACACAGGATAATTAGTCTACTCTGGATTATAGCACAAAGGACCCACCCGTTCTGGCGATGACTAGGGAGAGAATATTGGGGAGCTCTGTCAGCGGGCACGCTGTGCTTGGAAGCCCACATTGCGGCCGACGATCCAGACGGAACATTGGTGGCGGATTCCGGCGGTGAGCCGTTAGATTCCCTGTGGAGACAACGCTCTGTGTTGGCACGTTGATTTATTTGACTAGGAAATGTTAGTCAAATTGACGTAAATCTGATAAACAATGGACGTAACATGTGCGTCTAATAATCACAAACATTGAGGGATTAAATAGTTAAATTAAATTAAACAATTAAATACAGATTTATGGACAAAATTGGTTTGATGTTAAGTTTAAGGCTTATCCCCACCACAATAGCTTATTGACCAGCCAGAAATTATACTCTAGTTCTGAACATAGTACAGGACTATAGTAAAGTCTCGGTGAATATACACCGAGAGAGAGTATATATCTCGGAATATACATCATTTACGGTATGCATCACTGGGGGGCAAAGGTAGAGAGATACGTAAATATGTATCACGGAGATTCAGTATGAACAAAATGTTATTAATAGTTTAAGTTTTCACCTACTCGTAGGAGGAGACCATGAACAAAATATCTGCATAATACTGTACATAAATTGCAAAGTTTGTTAACTTAAATAGTATATTAAAATAAAAGTTGCGCAACTTTCACAAAATAGTAAGTCATCACCTATGAAATACTTATCGCTAAGAGTTATATATTCTGTCACAATTCACCGTTTAAATCATTAATTAAATCATAATTAAATCATAAGACGTTTAAATCATGAATAATAATTTATGGTATTCTGATGAAATGGGATTATTTGGAAATTTTAATCAGATCAAAAGAACATGGGTAGACTCCCTGGAAACACAAACCGTAACTGTCTCTATTTTCCGCTTGTTACAACGTGTAATAAAATTGTTACATCTTGGCTTAACGTGCTTATGACGTATTAGAACATTGTTACAACTTGCTATATTGGTTGTTATAACTGGGTAGGTGTTAAAACATGTTCGAACGTCGTAGTTTTGGTGTGTGTTTGGCGAGCTGACAGATGTTGTGGGAAGAGCTTGGTGCTGGGCTTCAGACCCTTCAACCATGGAAGGGTTATTAAGGATACCACAAAAGCTTATTGACCAACCAGCAAGTATACATTAGTCCCAAACATAGTCCAGGACTAGAGTAAACTGAAGTGTATATACACCTCTCTTATGGCATATAATTCGTTGTGTCAGGGACAGGAAGCTTGTGTATATATTGTAGGCTTACATCGAGGTCCCTCCCCCCCCCCCTCCCAAAGGTCGAACTACTGACCTTCACCAGGATGCAACCACACAACAGTTGCCTAACTTACTGTTGGGTGTACAGAAGCATTAGGCGAACGGAAACATGCCTAACCATTTCCGACCCGCCCGGAAATCGATCCCGGGGATCCCCAATAGTAAATCAAGAACGAAGCTAACTATACTAGGAGACCCTCGTGTGGACAAGTGGAGCGGAGAGAGCAACTCACAGTGGTAGAGCGTCGTCGTGGTGGTGGTGGAGGCGCAGGTAGTAGCGAGACAGAGCCAGACTAAGACATACACTGGGCAGGAACAACAACAAACACCAGCTGGTCGCCAGCCACAGTGCGTTCTGTTGTTATAAAAAGATTTACCGTTAGATCCCTATCCAAGTCCATGGCTGTCACGAAGGTAAAGTTTTTATCGGTAATATATAGGACAACCACACATTGTTTTCCCCAGACGTCCTATTTTTCAGTGCTTCAATCTCCGGCATGCTGTGGTTTTTGTTTTCTTTAGAAATCTAAAATTGTCAGGGATTTTTCCAATGCTTGTTATTTAAACATTCTAGATACGATATTATAGAACCCTGAAGCAGTGATAGATGACAAACTCTCGTAAACTCTGTACTTGCACTGTATTCTGCTGCTGCTCTAAAAAGCCTTCAAGACAAAAAACTGCTTAGCTTACTGTTCTGCTGCTACTGACGGAAGCAACCATAGCTCCGTAAAATAATTTTCAAGAATAATTAAGTTTTTCGACTGGAAAAACTGCGGTTTGCAATCAAAATGGGCTCCAGAAGAGGACTTAAATTTAAGTGTATCTGTTCATCATGCAGGAAAAACAATAAAGGTTAACATAATTATTTTGTTAAATTTGTCCATACTTTAATATCTATGCTGACCTGACCGAGCGGTTGTAGTACTACTCTCAGACCGTTGATACAAGGCATTACAAGACTTACAAGTGTGTGGCATTGAAATAGTTCTTTGTTGCATAAGAAACCACAAACTATAATCAGGATATTTTTTAAACAAAAGTACAAAAACATCTACCTCTGGCGCATGCTGTCACTCTTGAGAGCATTCTTAACTCACATTCCAGACATTGAGGAGAACAATAGTGGTGAAAGAGCCTCATCACGGCTCATACCATCCTCCTCTTTTGCAAAACTCTAAAGACGCGCGGACCACCTCGACATGTAAATAATAGTACATATACCTACGCTCTGCTACTTTTGCATATTGAATTTCCGTGAACATGTAGAGAAAGGCTCAAGATACCTTGCTCCAATTAGTAAAATGCACCCATGAGGTGTATTGAAATGCAGACGAATGAACTAGACTTTGAGGATCTTTATAAAGAACGTTGCTGACCTCCGAGACCCACAATCTTAACGCATAAGTTACACCTTTGAAGCCCTGACCCAGGAGCACGTTCCTGACCCCCACACAGCTGACCCACTCTGCACTACCACTGGCATGTTGCAGCTACTGACCACTGGCACAATGATACCGTTGCAGGCGATGCCGCGAGCAGAGTCGAACAAGTTCCAGACGGGTGTACAGGGCGCCACGTGGTGGAGAGCAGAGGTGCGCACGTGGTCCGTGTACTGCCTGGCGTACCCAAGGAGCCTCTCCACGTAGTCACGAACTTTCTGCCAGGGGAAATAACCACAGTTAGAACGCGACTCTTAAATAACCGGTTAAACAATGCTATTTAGAGTCGTTAAGGAAAAATAAGCACTAAATTCTCACATAATGTGTGGTAGAAGCTGGAAAAGTGTGTGTGTGTGTGTGTGGGGGGGGGGGGGGGGTACGTGAGACCACGTGTTTTGTGTGTATTTATTTTTTGTGTGTCTACAGGATCAAGCTGTTAGCTCATGGACCCCGCCTTTTTAATCGTCGGTTGTCTAATGTACTGCCTCTTGACCTATTTTTCTTTTATCATATCTACTACAATTTTTCTCTAACACACATACTGGGGGATGCAACCTGTAGCAGGTGTAACTCCCAGGCACTTATTTACTGCTAAATGAACTCGGGTGAAAGAAACTATGCCCAATTGTTTCTGACTGGACGGGGGAATCGGACCCGGGCTCTTAGCACTAGGACCCCAGAGCGCTGTCCGCTGGGCTGAGGACATGCAAGTGTGTGTAAGAACCTAAGTGTAGTTACAGGATGAGAGTTACACTCGTGGTGTCCCGTCTTCCCAGCACTCTGTCAAAACGGAATTATTGTCGGTTTTGGCCTCCACCACTTTCTCACCTAACTTGAGTGAGTGTGAATTTACTATTTTTGTCTGCAGAATCGAGCTATTCTTGGATTACGCCTTTCTAACCAGTCTATTTTTTCTATTATGTCTACTAATTATTTTTCTCTTTAACACGCGCGCACATCCCCAGGAAGCAGCCAATAGCAGCTGTCTAACTCACAAGTACCTATTTACTGCTAGGTGAACAGGTGGTTGTGTTCCATCAGGCTCTGGTGAGTGTGGCCGTGTTCCATCAGGCTCTGGTGAGTGTGGCAGTGTTCCATCAGGCTCTGGTGAGTGTGGCAGTGTTCCAGCAGGATTCATATTAAAGCATTCATCGCCAAACATCCACCACCGTCATCAACTTTGTGAACATGTGCGCGTGGAGGCCTGTGTGTGGGGGGGGGGTCAGAAAGGGTAGAAAAGTTTGAACACAGACCGCAGCTGCGAGAGAGGAGCCATGACTGTGGAGGAAGTATTGGATGGTTCGCAGGTGGCCTGCGCTCTGGTTGATCTGACGCTGGAGTGGCATGGCTTCCATGTCCAGCGTCGCCACCTGGTACGAGACTTCCTCCTGTCGAAATACGCATTAATAGAAATTTGTCCTTGTGTGAGATACAAGTTAAAAAGCGCTAATATTTCATCAAGTCTTCTAATCATTTATTATCATATTTTTTTCAAGTGTTCTACAATGGGAAATTGTTTGCATAGTTAGCCGTGACAAGGGCGACATACCAGCTACATATGGGGAGTTAATTAACTCATTCATGGAGTTAATTAACTCCATGAATAGGTTAATTACATGACACGCTGGAATGTTTTCCCTATTTTGGATAGATATTTGTGACCCCGAGGCACTGTCACAACAAGGCTGTATACTTGGGAGACTACCTTAACCTGTTGACACAACTCGCAGAAACGTGACGGTTAAAAATAATGACTACACACGTTGACAGGCCGGGACCGTTGACAGGCCGGGACCGTTGACAGGCCGGGACCGAGGATTGAGCTACAAGGGGCCGAAGTGACAGGAGCCGGCTGTATCTAAATCGTATTCCCTTCATTAATTTCGAAGCTGAATAAGAGTTTAACTTCGTTTCTTCATTTCATTTATGAATATATACACAGCTCTCCGGCCGACTTTTCTTCAGTTCGCCATCAGTGTGTTTGTGTAGCAAACACACTGCTTGTGTTTGCCCTGCTTGTGTTTGTGTGTGCTTGTTCTAGCGTCCTTACTGTGTTCACTCCCAGCTGGTTCCCACTTTCCCTCCGGCCACTCCCACCATCTGGCTCCTCTGACGTCGTCTTACCAGTGAGTCTATCAACTTCTTGATGCTACACATCAAGATCTACACATCTTGATCTTCTCACGCCTAACTTTTGCCGCCCCTCTCTCTCTCTCTCTCTCTCCAATTTTCAAACATTGTTCGTACCGTCATGCTTCAAGGGGTTTTCTTTTATCCCAAAACCTACTTATTCGACCTTAAATCCAGTGTCTAGTCTTCCAAATACGCGCAATTTGAATAATTTCCATAACTAACTCCGCGAACTGAACATGAAACGTGATGTGTGTCAAACACATCAATCTCGTTCATTCCTTCCCCTTTGCTACTGCCACTGCAGAGGTTTTCTGTCTCCTACTCGTCTCGACCTCTTTAATCAATACATTGGCGAAACTTTCCCTTCACTGACAAACTTGTACACTATGTCGTGGTCCGGTGGTGAAGTGCGCGACTTGGGAGTATACCCCCAGGTCGAGATTCGAATCCCCGCATTCCTCGTGTATGAGACACACATGTTAGATGAGAAGCAATACCTAGCGACAGGTTGAAGCAACACCTACCAGTACTTTGGCCGTCTAAGGAAGCAGAAACGTGAGGAAGCAGTACCTTGCGCTTCTCTAGGGGGTAGAGGGTGTTGGTGATGAGGTTTCTAGTGCGCGCCACCATCCTGAAGAGCTCGGCCGAGGCAGACACGGACCGCAACTGGCCCGCCACATTTTGCATCTGGTCGGAGAGCGCGGGCAAGCTCTTCTGCACCAGTGGCTTCTCCATCTGTGGAACGCACACTACACATTAATTTAACTTCCAAAAGATTTTCAAAGCAAAACATTCAACATACATGCGCGCGAACACACCGCGCGCACGATTAATAAATTTATTTTATCTTAAAAACTACAATTCCATACTTAAAAATTCCAAACTACCTGGCTGAGACTAGCACCTCCGCTCGCATGATTGATAGTTGAGTGCTGCACCACCGTACCATCACACCACACAAGCATGGGAGAGTATCAACTCATTGAACCCCTTTCACAGGTGCAGCCGGGATCATAAGGGATCACACCCCGCCCGTTTGGACACCAATCGGGCGTCCTCCCACTGAAGCGTGGGTTGAGAAAGACAACAAGATAATACCCAACTCACGTCTTCAACTGGATTAGGATGCCCGAGTGGTATCCAGAGGGGCTGCCCATTCCAGGTCCCTTCCAGATTTTACTGCCCACAATGGAATGGAATGCATTAGGCAGTGATGTGGTGGAGGCTGACTCCATACACAGTTTCAAGTGTAGATATGATAGGGCCCAGTAGGCTCGGGAATCTGTACACCAGTTGATTGACAGTTGAGAAGCGGGACCAAAGAGACAAAGCTCAACCCCCGCAAGCACAAATAGGCGAGTACAATCTAGGCTATACATGAGGATCTTCACTATACGTAATCACCCACACTATGCCCATGTTAAGAGCCTCTCACTACACACGTTATCCTTTACATGCGATCATTCATGGGGTTTTACGAAAGGAAACAAATCTTAGGTATTCATTCAATAAATTCATATTAGGTCAGTGGACAGCTACAATTGAATTACTAAGTAGATAGGTTTAGTACATTCTTTTATAGTCACTAATACACCGGTTATATTCACACCTTTCACTTCGGACTACGAACTCACCTCCTTCCGGAAAGGTTCGAGGTCAATCTTGACTGAGCGAAGGAAATCGTTGAGGTGAGTCTCTGCCTCCAAGGAGAGGAACTCGATCTGGGAGAGGTTGATGCGGAGGTTGGCTAGTGTTTGTCTGAGGTCGAGCGTGGTGTGGGGGTCGAGCTCTCGCTCCACGTCGAAGTAGTGGCGCAGCTGGAACACCTGGTACGCGGCTCCACCTTCCTTACAGCGCCTCCACACCCACCAACACAACACAATTAGTTTTATTTAATATTTAAGCAGTCTTATAAGTACCTAAATATTTAGCACGTTTGCAAACTTAATTTTAGTGTATAGACTTTTTTCCAGAAGGCTTCTGGGCTGAACGGTAGAGCGACGGTCTCGCTTCATGCAGGTCGGCGTTCAATCCCCGACCGTCCAAGTGGTTGGGCACCATTCCTTTCCCTCGCCCCATCCCAAATCCTTATCCTTTCCCCTTGATAATTCCCCCCCTCCCTCCAGAAGGCTTCTCAAATGAAAAACAACTAATATGTTGATATTTTTCATCTTGTAATGCATGTAAATGCAAGTTTTCTATCACGAGAGAATATATATATATATATATATATATATATATATATATATATATATATATATATATATATATATATATATATATATACGAAATAAAGTTATAGACAGACAGGCTTCACCTAACCAAGCGTGACTGTCCCTACTCAATCATTGTGTGCATCACATTATCGAGAGATTCCATGAATAGTTTCTACTCTCCAACCTCCAAGCGGACAAAACCTGCTCAAGTAATGTTTAATTAACGTAGAATCAAGAGTTATCAACGTAGATTCAGCGTTACATCGACGTAAGTCTCCTAAATTTTGCCAGGAAGGAGGGGGGGGAGGGGGTACTTCGAATACAGGTGTTTTGGTAATTATTCTCAACTGTCTCAGACACAGGGAAAGGAGCAGCCAGACGATCGAATCTATTTGTAATCTATTGTCTCTAGTGTCGTCTAGCCCATATCTTCATACGTTTGTGTTTATTGTTATAGAAAACATGTAAATCTTGGATGAAGTTGAACATTTCTGACGCATTTGTAAATCAATATATATATATAACGAGCCCACCTGAGTTAGTGATGAGTTAGTGAGTTAGTCAGTGGCCCACCTGAGTGAGTTAGTGACCCACCTGAGTGAGTTAGTGGTCCACCTGAGTGAGTTAGTGACCCACCTGAGTGAGTTAGTGGCCCACCTGAGTGAGTTAGTGACCCACCTGAGTGAGTGACATACCCACCTCACCTCGTCGACCCACCTGAGGACTTGACCAATGTTGAGATGAATATCGCGGCCCGGGTGGAGGACACTAGCGAGCAGGGGCCCCTGGCCAAGAAGCACCTCGGAGTGGTTGAGGAGCTGAGTAAGGATCGGAAAGTCGGGCTGGTCGTACAGTGGGCGGCATATGAAGGCGTGGGCGTGGCCAGCTACCACAAACACCACCGCCACCACCGCCCACAATAATCCCGACAACACAAATATGAGGAACACAGACCTGTAAGACACGTATGACATGTTATGATACATTTATACTGGTCTTCGGTGAGTTGTGTATTGTTATGGCTTGTGCTTGATGGCAATGTTGCTGTTATCAGACATAGTACTCACAACAGCAACTGTGTCAAGCCATTATACCCATATTCACAACTGTAAGAAAATACAACATCCTTCTGTAATATTATATTCAACAATACAACATGTTGCATTATACACTACTATAATCAAATAATGCTACTATACTGTATGCTATATTATGCACCATTTTAACTAAATATAACCCAATCTACTGTATATTCTGTAATCAGTCAAATTATCGTCATTCAATATATTTTGGAGAATCAGAAATGTGTATTTTAAGTTTGATGTTCCAACAACAAATTTTGTTATTTTTGTTCGTCATATTTCAAACTCCAATCAATCATTCTCAACATAAAAGCATATTTTTGGGGGAGTGAGGAAATAATGTTTGATGAATATACTCAAAAAATTAAAATCTGTCTTTCATCTTCACACACTAAAACACAATGAATTATCAACCCGTTTTCCCACTTAATGCACCTGTACGCTAGGGGACACGTCCAGTTGACTGAGGAAATAAAAGAGAGGGAATTTATACGTTTCTTTTACTAATGCTCATTGACGTCAGCAGATTCCTGGGACGAGGGTCTCAGGGGACCACCCACGCCAGGGGCCCAGAGGGCCACCCCTCGCCAGGGGCCCAGAGGGCCACCCCTCGCCAGGGGCCCAGAGGGCCACCCCTCGCCAGGGGCCCTGAGCCCACCCCCGCCAGGAGCCCTCAGAGGCCACCCACGCCTGGAATATGAACCACTCACATCACTACGTAACTCACGAAATGAATGTCTGGCCGGCGGAATTGGAGACGCAGGACCTGTCAGTGGGCGCCTGGTCTTGTGCGTGGACACAACACCCACAACACACGCCCACAGTCATCACCGCCCACACCAACCCCAGGCACACGGTGATGCCTGCCACGGGAAAACAATTACTTTGAAAAATGGATTGTTATAAATATTAAAATACAGTGTGTGTGTACTCACCTAGTTGTGTTTGCGGGGGTTGAGCTCTGGCTCTTTGGTCCCGCCTCTCAACCGTCAATCAACAGGTGTACAGATTCCTGAGCCTATCGGGCTCTATCATATCTACACTTGAAACTGTGTATGGAGTCAGCCTCCACCACATCATTTCCTAATGCATTCCATTTGTCCACCACTCTGACACTAAAAAAGTTCTTTCAAATATCTCTGTGGCTCATTTGGGCACTCAGTTTCCACCTGTGTCCCCTTGTACGTGATCCCCTTGTGTTAAATAGACTGTCTTTATCTACCCTATCAATTCCAATATGTGTGTGTGTGTGTGTGTGTGTGTGTGTGTGTGTGTGTGTGTGTGTGTGTGTGTGTGTGTGTATAATTATTCCCACAAAGTAAAAACACAAATACTATCAAATATCAAAGAATAGATTATAAATATTATCCAGAAATATTATTTGTTGATCATGAGTTAACGGAGGAAATCGCCGGGAATGATTTAGGGCAATACATGGCAAGTGTGAGGGAGGGAGGACGTACCTAGGCCGGTGTACCACCTGTAGTGGTCGTGGACCAGAAGGGCGGCGGTGGCCTCGTCCACCCGCCAGCTGAGGTCCTTGGTGCGCACTTCGAAGTCGAAGGCCACATCATCGAGGCTGTTCACCTTGGAGTACAGCCCTCCCCGGAAGGCGCGCATCACTCGCTTCGCGTCTGACACCCACCAAATCAGTTTTTCCTTTAGTGATGATCTTTTCATTTGGGAATAACTATCTTAAAAGTCTTCATTTAGTACAATGATTAATTTTTAATTGCCAGCATCACTGGGACCGTCCAAACCGTTTAATTAATAATTCAATCATTGCTGACACCTGTGTGCTAGGATTCGTAATAGCCTACTTCCACAATGTGCTGCCCGAACACCTCAGAGCAGCACATGCCATTCTCTGACCAGCGGAATATACAATTCCATATAAACGATCCATAAATACAAAATATATAAAACATTTCAGAAAGGCAAATCAAAACCCTTCAAAAACAATAGCCCTAAATAATGTGATTTTGGGAGATATATATTAGTATTGTTGATGAAGGGACTCAGCAGGAGAGAGTGTAGGCAGACCTACCGTCCCTGGTGGTCCGGGTCACCACCTTCACGAAGCTGGGGATGTTGTCGAACTCGTACCTGGCCTGGCGGGCCATCTCCGTCAGGTTGTGCCTCTCTACCACTGACAACAGCCGAAGCTGCTCCGAGAAGGAGAACTGCAACAAGACAAGCAGGAGGGATTTAAGCCAGAGAAGCAGGAGGGATAAATGAATAATATTAACCTAAACGATCATTAACCATGGAATAAAATATATCATTGTTTTCTCTCCTTTGTATTGGAGAAATATGAGCTCTAAATCTATCTCAAAATGTGTTCATTTGTTCAGTGTGCCTTGAAGGACTATGCTGGAGTTCCCGTCATCAGTCATCACACTGTTCGATGTTCTGTCATTCCTATCAAGAGTGTAATTCTGGAACTGCTGTCAAGTCACGCATGAGGTCGTGTGACCTTCGACCTCACGCATCAGGTCGCCACAATAATTCGACACATTTAAGACACGGAAATATATCAGTTTAACTTACACTGTCGAAGCGTGCTGCGAGGTCGAGGCCGCGATGATCAAGGCTGTTGCAGAGATCGGCGTCCTCGACGGAGCAGCGGGACACGAACCGCTGGATGTCAGCTGACAGCTCAACCAGGCGGTCCCGCAGCTGCACAACACACAATATTAACCACAGATCTACAGCTGCACAACATACAATATTAACCACATATCTACAGCTGCACAACACACAGTATTGACCTCCATTTCTGGCTATCTTGCCCCGATAAAATGAGCATAGCTGGAAAAATTAAGTAATATCACATTATCGGCATTGTAGTAAGGAATCTCTTATCTAAGGCCCCATATTAAAAAAATATCACACACGCCAATGACTGCACAAGTGATGTATGCCATCGTACCCCCTTAAATTACTCTTGATAGTTATAGGGGCTTAGCGTTTTATTTTTATAATTTCCTTACGTTACCCCTTAAATTCCAAGGCCTAAATTATAGTAATGAAAACGTTGGCGAAGGATATCTGATCTAGAATTCTTTCTTCCAATTATTATTAAAATCATTCGCTACACACTGTACACGTTCATGGATAGTGATTTAATTTTTGCAGAAACGAAGAAAAAACATGTTTCATACCTGCGGGAGGTCCCAGGGAAGGGGGGTAGCCTTACCTCTTCTGATCGCGCCGCAGCCAGTACGCGAGTATTCTCCAGCGACCGCATGCGGCCCGCTATCTCGCGGAAACCTGTCACAACATCCCTAGGTTAACTCTACGGGCTTGGCTACATGTTCAAAATCAGCTATGATATACAAAACAAAAATGCATTAATATCCTATTTACCCGGGCTCTCGGAGGCTCGAACCGTTGACACAAGTGTGTGAGACCGGAGCTCTATCGTCCAAGCTATTGGAAACTTTCCTTATTAAGACTACTCAATAGCTCGCTCGATAGAGCTTCGACCTCACCAGCGTGGGGGGGTCCGGGATTCGAGTCTCCTAGAGCCCAGGTGAATAGAATGTTTATTTCCCTGGACGTGTGAATGACAACGTATATGTATCAATAGAAAACGCACAAACGTGCTTGAAATTCAGTATCAAATATACAAATGTTTATCGGTACACTGACACGTTGAGTGCCTGGCGCTACACTGACACGTTGAGAGCCTAACGCTACACTGACACGTTGAGCGCCTGGCGCTACACTGACACGTTGAGTGCCTGGCGCTACACTGACACGTTGAGTGCCTGGCGCTACACTGACACGTTGAGAGCCTAACGCTACACTGACACGTTGAGCGCCTGGCGCTACACTGACACGTTGAGAGCCTGGCGCTACACTGACACGTTGAGTGCCTGGCGCTACACTGACACGTTGAGTGCCTGGCGCTACACTGACACGTTGAGCGCCTGGCGCTACACTGACACGTTGAGCGCCTGGCGCTACACTGACACGTTGAGTGCCTGGCGCTTCACTGACACGTTGAGTGCCTGGCGCTACACTGACACGTTGAGTGCCTGGCGCTACACTGACACGTTGAGAGCCTGGCGCTACACTGACACGTTGAGCGCCTGGCGCTACACTGACACGTTGAGCGCCTGGCGCTACACTGACACGTTGAGCGCCTGGCGCTACACTGACACGTTGAGTGCCTGGCGCTACACTGACACGTTGAGCGCCTGGCGCTACACTGACACGTTGAGAGCCTGGCGCTACACTGACACGTTGAGTGCCTGGCGCTACACTGACACGCTGAGAACCTAATGGTACACTGACAAGTGAGTGGGTGCCCTCGTCTGGGAACCATACGGGATGGTTCCCAGGGATTAAGGAACATTAATGAAGAATGTGAAACAAAAGCTCCCAAAATATGTCACCCGGAAATGTATCAACTCACGAATGTCTACAAAAGTTACCTAATAATAACAGTCGTAGCAAAACAGTTAGAAGTGTAATAAAAGCCAAGAAGTAAGAGTGTTACACTAGGTGGTAAAGGGATCAAATCGTATACCTTTTATGTACGAACATACGAGCGGCTTTTAAGCCAAATCTGATAATGAAATTAAATCAAAACGACATTAAAACGAATTACAAAAGCGGTATTACTTGATTATGAAAAATATTAGAACATTCTAAACAAAAAGTCTAATTTCAGACCTGTTCTTTACGGGTATTAAACACTGTTGCGTGTGGTAAAACATCAACCCGTCCTCCAGATGCTATAGTGCCTGGCAACGTTGCGTTGTGTCAACCACTTGTTAGAGTCCATAGAAATGTGAATCTGCTTCCAGTGTTATATAGTGGTAATGGCTTGGTGCTTTCCCCTGACAAATTCCCTCTCTCCCTCCCTCCTGTGTTTTCTGTAATGTACTGGTAGCTAGTTGTAGTGTAGCTAGTTGTAGTGTAGCTAGTTGTAGTGTAGCTAGTTGTAGTGTAGCTAGTTGTAGTGTAGCTAGTTGTAGTGTAGCTAGTTGTAGTGTAGCTAGTTGTAGTGTAGCTAGTTGTACTGGTAGCTAGTTGTAGTGTAGCTAGTTGTAGTGTAGCTAGTTGTAGTGTAGCTAGTTGTAGTGTAGCTAGTTGTAGTGTAGCTAGTTGTAGTGTAGCTAGTTGTAGTGTAGCTAGTTCTGTTTGTGTAGAGATGTGCTAGTTGTTTATTCTGACACTGATAGTCTTATCTTGAGGTTATCTTGAGATGATTTCGGGGCTTTAGTGTCCCCGCGGCCCGGTCCTCAACCAAGCCTCCACCCCCAGGAAGCAGCCCGTGACAGCTGACTAACACCCAGGTATCTATTTTAATGCTAGGTAACAGGGGCATAGGGTGAAAAACTCTGCCCATTGTTTCTCGCCGGCGCCCGGGATCAAACCCGGGACCACAGGATCACAAGTCCAGTGTGGTGTCCGCTCGGCCGGATGGCTCCCTGTGCAAGTATTGTTTCTATAAAACCTACATGCTCCTGCAGTCCGTCCTATCGAGGACTGGACTGAGCCGTCGGTGTAGACACAGTGCTCGTGAGCTCTTAAGAGTTTTGATGGAGGAGGCAATTGTTTCAAGAGCGACAGCTTTGAGAAGAGCATCATTCACATTACCTTTCTTGGTGACGGGTGAGTATGATACTTGAATGGTGGGATACAGATAAAAATAATATTTACGGGTAGATTGCATTTAAAATGAATGTTCAGTTTTTATGAAATTGTAGGCATTTTTTACTCATCCATTTATCATACTCAAAATGTATTCTGCGTGATATATAACTCTACGGACATATCACTACCTATTTCACTTACTCTGCCATACCGACCAGGGAGGATCGAGAGGTGGACCTTCTAACCAAATCATGACCACCATTTTATAACCTTAAATTTCCTTTAGAATTTACATACGTATTTTCTCTAATAAACTTGAGAGATAATTTCAGTACTAAAGAGCAGTAATAACGTCCAAATAATCAGAGTAACGCAAACACCATTAAAGCCAATTAATACGTCATACTAATACACACGACGTATAACAGGCTGTGATTCACGTGTTCTTCAGGAAGTGAAGAAAGAACAAGTTATTACACACAGTAGTTACGTTTAAGTGACAGGAGCAAGTAGTAGTGGGATGACTTACTGCTGCTGATGTGAAGCAAAGAGTCGAGCGCTGCTTCTATCTGGGCCTCCCCCGCCAGCTCTCGCTGCAGCGGTCGACCCAACAAGTACTCGATATCTGCAACATGACAACACCTGTTTCATGTCCACTGCAACATGACAACACCTGTTTCATGGCCTCTGCAAAATGACAACACCTGTTTCATGGCCTCTGCAACATGACAACACCTGTTTCATGGCCTCTGCAAAATGACAACACCTGTTTCATGGCCTCTGCAAAATGACAACACCTGTTTCATGGCCTCTGCAAAATGACAACACTTGTTTCATGGCCTCTGCAAAATGACAACACCTGTTTCATGGCCTCTGCAAAATGACAACACTTGTTTCATGGCCTCTGCAACATGACAACACTTGTTTTATGTCCACTGCAACATGACAACACCTGTTTCATGTCCACTGCAACATGACAACACCTGTGTCATGTTCACACTCACCATCACTGCCTATAATAACTATCTACTGTATACATAGAATGTATTGATGAATTTAAGTTGATAGTAAATTGTTCCGAGCGCTGAATGGCGCGATATACATACTTTCAATTATCCTAAGCTATTGCTGGTGCCCCACAAGGTCTAAAACGTGAAGCAGCTCTTTCGCACAAAGTTTAAATGCTAGTACGCACTTACAAATTCGTAATATTAGATCAAAGTCACTCCAAAGTCATTTAAGTGCACATATTTCACTAAGACACCTTGTTCATGTTATGATATCAATACGAACAGTTTATTCTGTAGCTATTGAGGAACTCTGACGCCTTCCCTTCCCTTTCTCTTCATCGACATGAAAACCTGGGTCTAGATTCATGATGCAGTAATGCAAGTACTTACGAACGTGTACATCTTGCCTCAATCTTTGACGGCTATGGTTACATTTATTAAACAGTTTACAAGCATGAAAACTTCCCAATCATCTGTTGTTATTGTTATAAACAGCCTCCTGGTGCTTCCGAGCTCATTAACTGTTTAATAACTGTAAACAAAGCCGCCAAAGATTGAGAAAAGATGGACAGGTTCGTAAGTACTTGCGTAACTGCTTCGTGAATCTGGCCCCAGATCCGTATCTATGTATCGGAAATGCAGTGGGCTAGTTCTCGGTAATGTCAACGACGCCGTTCATCCTAGGTCAAGCAAACCTCTAACTTACCAACCCCGAGACAGTAATGTGGCAACACTTGGGCAGTCTTTCACGAGCCCACTCAGTCAAGGCAGCTCTTCACCCCTGTGTTGCATATAATCAACTGGACGATAAGGTGGGCCTGTGCTTGCCAACTGGACGATAAGGTGGGCCTGTGCTTGCCAACGGGACGATAAGGTGGGCCTGTGCTTGCCAACGGGACGATAAGGTGGGCCTGTGCTTGCCAACGGGACGATAAGGTGGGCCTGTGCTAGCCAACGGGACGATAAGGTGGGCCTGTGCTAGCCAACTGGACGATAAGTTGTGTCTGTGCTTGCCAACTGGACGATAAGGTGGGCCTGTGCTAGCCAACTGGACGATAAGGTGGGCCTGTGCTAGCCAACTGGACGATAAGGTGGGCCTGTGCTTGCCAACTGGACGATAAGGTGGGCCTGTACTAGCCAACTGGACAATAAGGTGGGCCTGTGCTAGCCAACTGGACGATAAGGTGTCACTGTACTAGCCAACTGGACAATAAGGTGGGCCTGTGCTAGCCAACTGGACGATAAGGTGGGCCTGTGCTTGCCAGCAACTAGCGTGTCCTGAACAATCACGTGTTCTACACAGAGGTGAGAGTCGCTGTATCATAAACCTTCACAAAGGAATTCAAACTTCAGCAAACCATTGGAGCTGAACGAGGGTTTGTTAATTGAAGGCTCGTGACTGATTGATCGAGTTGGGAGGAAGCCCGGGCGCTGGGACGATATTGGTTATTCCACGCCTGAACGGACCACGAGGCCTTAAACGTTATTCAACGCTCACGACATTGAATCGGCGTTGAACTGCCGTTGCTTTTTGATAGTGTGTCTACCGGGTAGTGTGTCTACCGGGTAGTGTGTCTCTACCGGGTAGTGTGTGTCTACCGGGTAGTGTCTCTACCGGGTAGTGTGTCTACCGGGTAGTATCTCTACCGGGTAGTGTCTCTACCGGGTAGTGTCTCTACCGGGTAGTGTGTCTACCGGGTAGTGTGTCTACCGGGTAGTGTGTCTACCGGGTAGTGTGTCTACCAGGTAGTGTGTCTACCGGGTAGTGTGTCTACCAGGTAGTGTGTCTACCGGGTAGTGTGTCTACCAGGTAGTGTCTACTGTAGAATACTTTATGTAAAGCATTCGTCAAATTGTGAACGTATATGAAGGATTATTTATGATTTCGTCTGAAATTTTTGGTCCATATATTAGCCACTGGATTTAAGACACAGTATATTCGTTTAGTTCGACTTGGAGTGGCACTGGGCTTAAGACCAACAACAACAACGGTGAGGTTATTAAGTTCGTCACAATAACTTGCTCACTAGCCACCAGTGAACGTTAATATAATCGTATATATATAATATAATCGTTAGTATGATCACAACTAAACTCGTTATATACCAAGAAGCTCTGTATAATTCTGTGTATATCTATCCTTTTAAATTGTTTGATATCAATTTCCAAGAATTTGATATTCACTTTCATCTTGAAATGTTTAGTAATGTTACATTATCTATATTCCGATTTAAAACTGACATGGCCAAATTTAATTTAAACATTTATTCGTTATTTGAAGCCTAGCGGGCTTCATATTAATTATCGAATCTAAATGCGATTTCTCATATTCCTCGTTAAATATGGTGACCAAAATTGCACGCACCGGACCCGCTAGTTAACTGTACAACTAGAATGAGTTTCCTAGGAAAAATTTCAGTAGATTTATCAATAGAAGCAAGAACATTGACGCCTTATTTTACCGTCTCAGTCCACTGTCGATTTGTCTTGAAATTATTACCCACTATTAGCGCTCTGGTTCATCCAACAGCTTGTAAATATGTGATTTATTACTTGTAGTTGACAGCACTGAAGCTCACTTGAACTTTGCCTGGAGATAAGCAAATACTGACCGTTGAACTGGTTCCAGAACCAAGAACCTCTGCCGGGAGACACTTGTGTGTCCAATTTAAGAGGTAGTTTGAGCCAGCCAGAAGCCTCGCCCGCTTGAACGGGTTGATGATCCTCCTCTCCACCCTTCACAACCCGTTGTCAATGTCAATCATGTACAGGAAGAGATTTGGGCCAAAGTGTGACCCCTTGGAACACCGTGCTTGGTAAACACAACAAACTGGTTGATAGACTCGGCCACAAAACGTTTCCTAATCCGTATGTCGCTGACGAAGGACAGACGACCACAGGCTATGGCCATATTTGAAGATACGAAACAGGTTACCCGTAGTATCTCGCCAAATATCTTTTCAACTGTTACTGCTGGCATTATAAACGACAATTATAAACCAAAGAAGTAGGCTTCCGGAATGCAGGTACGCAAGGCTTCAGCATCGGAGTCTGCGAGGACATAGCAGGAACACCAAATTGGCAGGAATCCAAGCAGAACTTAAACGTCTTACTCCTGCTAAGATGACATACAACCAATGTTGAATTTTCATCAGCAAGGAATGTGGAAACTTTAAGACTCCTACACCACACGAAAGTACTGCGACATTCAATATATTAACAATCTTTGGTCCATGAAATCTGACTACCTGAGGACTGTATAAAAACGCATAAATTCCTGCAGTAAAAATCCTTGTCTCGGAGGAAGGCTGCACATAAAGGTTTTATTGGTCAATTCAACTCCATCAGCAGATTTCGGCCCGTCTGTAAAGAGAGCGGAAGAGCGGAATATGCGTAGAAAAGTTGAAGAAAAAGATGTTTCATGAGAGTAAGGAGGAGTGTATGGATGTGTGGGTGGGGGGAAGGGGGTGTTACTACACATGACTACACAAGTTAGGATTTACAAACTTTTACACCCTAGACTTTTCCAGGTGGGTGATGGCAGCACAATACGCGAGGACACGTTGCAGGCGGCCTGCACAGACTTAACCCTGCACAAGCACTACAGTATATTTGGTGCCTGGTTAGTTGGCGATATTTTCTAATTGCTTTTGTCTCCAAAGTATTAAAAACTGCTATTATTCCTCTCAAACTTTACTTTGACCTTTACCTCAGACAGCTCAGGAAAGACGTGTCAAAGGTTACCTGAAGACTGCAGACTCCTTATCTAGAGCTGTGACATTATATCACAGCTCTACATAAGGGTGGACAACAAATTTAACTTTGCATGGCGTGCTTTCAGATCTTTAACTCATTATTTCCAATGCTTTAAAGCTTGCAAGTATCGTTAATTCTAGTACTTCAATCGTGTTCTGTTTATCCCAATTGTTTATTCAAACAGGGTATACAAATAGCAGTGAATTATAATGTATTATAAGCCCATAATGAACAACTGTATTTACTACTGAACAATGAATGACTGGACACCACCATGAGCCTGTGAATACAAGCCTTGGCACGTCCCATCTCGCCCGGTGTAGGTTACAACACTATGAAGTTGCCACAAAACTCTAACATTTCAATACAAACAGTGCACATTATAGCCTTTAATCATTGCAAGTGATAATTATACACGTGCGATAGTGTGTAGCGAACCAGTGGGGGTCAGCCAGAGGCACCATGTGAAACATAATATTACAACCCACCATCTAGATCAGTGTTAATAGCGTGGACCGTTTGCTCGAGGGAGTCGGTGACGAGGAAGCGCAGTTGCATCTTGGTGTTGGCGAGGAAGGTGTTGAGGTCCCGCAGGTTGCTGTTGATGCTGTGTCTGGCCTGGCTGAGGGCGTCGCCTAGCCTCTGGTTGCTCACTACCACCACCACCAGGCCGGACCTGCAGGTAGCCACCACAACCATCAACCAATTGGAATAACTGCCGGAGAGTTAACATTAGGTTATATAATGGGAAACATATCCGCGTTATAGAGCCGTAACCATAATCCCCTATAACCCGGTGATCACACTTTCAAAATCTTGTACATCTATAGAACTCTGTAATATATAACAGGGTGGAATATATATCTAAGAGTCCGTCTGGCATCATTCTCCAACACGCTTCATGCGAGACAGCTGACCATGAAGACCATTTAACACTGACACAGGAAATATTAGGATTTACAAAAGGCAATTAATGTGTGTACAGTTCCACACACACCAAAAAATATGGGTTTGGACAGGAACTTTTTTTATTCGGTGCCTTTTGGATGACAAATTGAATTACTTAAAAAAAAACGTACATTAATCATTTTTTAGACTTTACAATCTTAGGAAGTTAATGACCAATTGAAGACGATCTAGCCTATAAAACTGCCAGTTAAACATTGTATTTTAAACATTTAAATAATGTAACCTTCATGCACTGGAAAAGACAAAGCAGTATGTTGTTATACTTATACAAGCACTATTAGAGTATGTGTCCAAAGTTGCAGGTAGACCCTTGTGGCTAGCCTCGCCCAACTTGGCAGGGGGACTGATCCGGGGTACGGGACGAACATAGGCTAATTGGGGGGGGGGGTAGGTCTACGTTTAATGCTTTAAGAAATATTAGTACTGTATTTATAAGAGACTCCAATACAATTTCCATGGACTCGAGTATGAAGTATTTATGATGATTCCCCTAAAGTTTAGTTATCACACTAATATATTTTCCGAGACCCATACAGTTGTTTCAGTGCCTCTTAATACATTTTCTGAGAGGAGAGGATGACCAAGGAGAAGATGGGGGTGAAGAATGGGGGGGAAAGGATGGAAATAGGGGGAAACAGACCCGGTTATCCCTCCAATATAAATAAATGGAAATGTCCGTCTGTTCGAGGTTGGCGTGGAGAGGAGAGTGGGGAAGTGGAAAATGGAGAAGACGAGAGGGTAGAGAAGAGGTAGATGTAGGTAGACGAAAGATGAGGGGTATAATGGGGGAGGGTTGGGGGGGGAGGTAGGAAATGACTATCCAAGCCACAGCCTGGTGCCCCCTCCTGGCTCCTTATAATACCGAAATTCGTCGATTTAATTTTGCAAATGAAACAGTGGCAATATATATTCTCCTGATCACAAAATATGAAACAATGGCAAGAGTGCACACAACACCATCACACTGGGAAGGAGCAGCTGTGATGCTGTCTTCCGTGTGTAAAATATTTGTATGATCAATAAACTCATTACATTCCCCGATAGATACAGGGGCCTTGAATGAAGAACATCTTCAATTCCAAGATTACCATAAAAAGAGAGAGAGGTAAAGAGGAAAGGAGAGAGAGAGGTAAAGAGGAAAGGAGAAAGAGAGAAAGATAAAACAAGAGAAAAAAACAAAAGAGGAGAATGAAAAAGACAGAAAAAGAGATGCATACAAAAAGTCAACACTAAGATGTTGCGCAGTAGCGGACAGGAACATACAGTACAGCGCAGGATATGAAGGAGAGGGCGACGGTGAGCATCCTCCTGCGGCAGTGGAAGCACTCGGCGCGGCCGTGCTGGGTCTTGCTGGCCCCACACCTGCCGGCGAGGCGGCAGCAGCACACCAGCAGCCCCACAAGGGGCATCCCCGTCGCCAGGGCCCCACACACCCCTAGGCACGCCGCCAGCAACGGCTCCGCCTGCAGCGACTGATATAACAACGGCCTCAACATTTAAATAAAACATTATACAAAGAATAAGCTCTAATGAAACTATAATGAAAATGCTAATTTACAAATATGCATTACAAATTACATCGAGGTCCTGGCAATGCCATTTTCGTCACAGACTCGTTAGATATAAGAGAACATTAAGGGGAGACTGACCTGGATGAGAAGCTGCAGGGGTGTGATCCGGTGCTCCACGGCCGCCCGCACCAGTTCTGCGGGATACACCACCTTTGTACACATCATTAATTACTTAAGTGAAGCGGAATTACCAATACACACATTTCCCCGGAGCCTAATGATGAGGGCCGCGGCGTCGTGTCCCTCAGCGCGCGTTTCCAAAGTCAGTTTAATACATTTTCACAGGATGTGTTAAGGGATTTTTGTAGAATATGTTTGGGAAGACCTGCTGAAGGCATCTGGGTGGTAGAGGTGAAATTTGCGTTGTGTGAAACTGCTGAATGGACCAATTATAAGCCGCATGAAGGTCTTTATGACCCTCTGGTATTTTCTGTGGATTCTAACACACGAAGGAACCCAGGGTATGAATTTGGCAGACATCCCATGAAGTCATTCGTGAGTGTTCTGAACAAGGGGCTCGTGGTGAGGAAATTGACTCATATATTATAGTTTGTTTTTCTTGGTGCTTTGTTTCTAAATTAATAAAATTGGAACTTCAATTAGCGCTTAATGTAATGTTCTCAAAAATTACATTTATTTAATTAGATGTTGTTTAAATGCCAGTGACCAAAGTTCTCATTCTCCATTCACTCACTCACTCTCACTCACTCACTCTCACTCACTCACTCACTTTCTCTCACTCACTCTGGGTCTCTGTTTGGATCACTTGATATGTTGTGTGAGCCTCGTAGCCGTGTAAGGACTACGAAGTAGGCTCCGTCCGGCTAAGAACTCTCCCGGTAATACGATTATCTGAAACGGCTTCTGTTAGGTCAGTTTTTGTGAAGTGTTGAGACTCCCGGGAGAGCTGACCAGCGACTCCCTCACACCACGTGTTTATTTATTACACACACACACACACACACACACACACACACACACACACACACACACACACACACACACACACACACACACACACACACACACACACAAAATAAAATATATATATATATATATATATATATATATATATATATATATATATATATATATATATTTGTGGAGACAGTAAGGGGGAGGGAGGGGGTTGGACAGTCCAGGGGGGTAGACAGACCAGGGGGGTGGACAGTACAGAGGGGGGTGGACAGTACAGAGGGGGGTGGACAGTACAGAGGGGGTGGTAGACAGTACAGAGGGGGTGGTGGACAGTACAGAGGGGGCTGGACAGTACAGAGAGGGGTGAACAGTACAGAGGGGGGTGGACAGTACAGAGGGGGGGGGGTGGACAGTACAGAGGGGGGGTGGACAGTACAGAGGGGGGGTGGACAGTATGGACGGGTAACAGTAGCTAGGGGCCTGCCCGCCAGGTCTCATCCCAGGCCGGAGTCTGCACCACCCAGGAAACCTTTCAACGTCAGTAATCATATTACAGACAAGTAACAGGAAACGTTCCCAGCCGAATAATGGACTAGCCTCAACCACACCCACGCCGCCACTCCCCACCAACCCCCCCAACCCAACCACTCACCCACACTTACTGTCAGGCCAAGGGGCCTGACAGATGAGTGGACGGCGCTTCGGATTCATAGTCCTGAGGTTCTGGGTTCGATCCCCGGTGGAGGCGGAAACAAATGGGCAGAGTTTCTTTCACCCTGATGTCCCTGTTACCTAGCAGTAAATAGGTACCTGGTAGTTAGACAGCTGCTACGGGCTGCTTCCTGGGGGTGTGTAGCAGAGAAGGTGTAATGTGTAACCGGGCCGCAGGGACGCTAATCCCCGAAATCTCAAGATAACCCCAACACTCACAACTGGAAACAGGAAAACTGCCCGAGGGTTGGAAGACAGCCAAAGTAGTTCCATATTTCATTGGAGGTCTCCCGTCTCCAGTGACCTACTATACACTATGAAGAGTGGCAAGCAAAGTGCCTGTGCACACTTTTTCAGTACCCATGGTGAGATCCCGTCTGGACCAACAGCCTTTCCTCACATCCAGATCCAACAGTTGTCTCTTGATCTCATCTCTCGTAATTTCGAACACTTCCAAGGCCGCCTGGTTTACTTCCCCCTCTCCTAGCGCAGTGACCTCACCTTGTTCTATTGTGAAGGCCTCCTGGAACCTCCTGTTGAATTCTTCACACACCTCTTTGTCATTCTCTGTATGCCTGTCCTTCCCTGTTCTAAGTTTCATTACCTGTTATTTCACTGTCATTTTCCTCCTGATGTGACTGTGGAGTAGCTTTAGTTCGGTCTTGGCTTTGTTTGCTATATCATTTTCATAAGTTTTCTCTACTTCTCTTCTCACCCTGACGTACTCATTCCTGGTTCTCTGGTATTTCTCTCTGCTTTCTGGTGTTCTGTTATTTCGGAAGTTCCTCCACGCCCTTTTGTTAAGTTCCTTTGCTTCCATACATGCCCTATTTAACCATGGATTCCTCTTTTGCTTCTCGGATTTTTCCTTTTGGGCCGGGATGAACCTGTTTATTGCCTCCTAACACTTTTGGATGACATAGTCCATCATGTCTTGTACAGATTTAGCTCTGAGGTCTGTGTCCCATGGTATATCCCTTAGGAAACTTTATCTCCTCATAATTTCCCTTTCGGTATGCCAGCCTTTTGTTTCCTACTTCTTTTTTTTGGGGGGAGAGATCAATTCTAGCTCTACCAGGTACTCAAAGATCAATACACTGTGATCACTCATTCGCAAGGGGGCTTCCAACTTAACTTCCCATATATCCCACTCATTTAGGGTAAATATCAGATCAAGCATAGCTGGTTCATCTTCCCCCCCCCCTCTCATTCTTGTCGGTCCCTTGATGTGTTGGCTTAGAAAGTTTCTTGTTGTCACCTCCAGCAGCTGAGCTCTCCATGTATGTGTTGATGGCGTTAGGAGCCCATTAAGTGTGTGTGTAGCCTTCCCCACCACCACCTAGGGATGGGTATGGGGTGCACTACCACCCGCAGAATGGGTATGGCTTGTTTAATAAATTAAAAACTAATATTTTTCATAAAACTTTGTCCATAGGCCTATCGTGACCTATACCGTCCATAGGCCCCGTCGGTGGCCTATTGCTCCATGGGCTTATGGGTTAATGGGCCCATGGCTTAATTTACTGGATAGATAGCAGAGTGGGCTTCCTAATAACTGACCTAATTATGCAAATTAACCGAAACATATTGTTAACCCATGGTCTGGATAACAATCACAGCTACACGGCTATTAATATGGACACAATCTGAACAAACAAAACATTCCCAGCGATAAATGAAACTTACCGAAGGGGAAGTGAGTAGGATGGAGGGCCGAGATGACGGCTCCAGCCCAGGCTAGAACTGTGGGCTTAGCGTGAGTAACGTCTGTGAGGTAGGGCTCGCCTTCTGGCACGGGTTCAAACTGCAACGTCCTGAGTAGTGGGTCACGGGCCTGGGAGCTCGGACTCTTCTCTTCATCCTCGTCGCGCTGGACACCAGCAAACAACAAACGACTGGACACAGTCACAATTGGCAGCGGCAGGAACGTGGGGGCAGAGTCTGGGGTCTCACCTGAGGCCGGAGGCACGCTGTGGGAGGCACTAGAGTTCTGGTCACTCTGAAGAAAATGATTCTGAGAAAGCAACGACTCACTATCCCACGACAAAGTTCTGTTGCCCGAAGTTAGGCCTTTATTTATAGTCAAAACTGCCACCTCTGGGATGGTCTCGTTCTGCTTCACAACTTTTAGTCCCACGGTAATCCGAGGAAGCTGCGAAGCCTGAGAATCGCCAGCAGTGCCCTGCTTCTCACAAATTAAGTCGTGACATGGGTTTGTACCGACAGGACTGGCCAGCGAGCCATCTCCTGGTACCCAAGCAACCACCGCCACTACCACACACACTCGCCGTGACCACATGCTACCACTCATCACTACACACGAGCCAAATACTCGCCGACTCCGTGCGTAACAGACCAGCGACAAGCTCATACTGCTTCCTTAGGGTCGGGGTGGGGGGGGGGGTATTAAGGGTGGGAGTGGTTAGGCAGGCTTGGGGAGGCTTCACCCACCCCTCCCTGCAAGCCCACACTGCCACCCACTGCTCACTTGTGGGGTGAATCTTGTTTGTTTTATGTAGCTTTTTACACTTGGCTATATATTTCAATAATTGCATATTTGTTTATGTTAAAATACGTCACCGTATTTAAAAATTGAAGTTGCATCATAAACGTCTTTAAATTCAACCTGTCTTCAGGCCAAAAGGCCACGTTCATTAAAGTCGCAGCTGTTTTCAAAGACACGTTCATAAATTTTACCAATTGTGTATATAAAAATTACTTTGCTCTAATATATAATATTAATTTATATATAAGTTATGTGTACAGTTAGGCGTAGATTAGGTTATGTATTTAAGTTCTGTTGGCGATTATTTGTATTTGTAGTACGTGGGTGAAGCATTTACAGCGTTGCGATTCGAACAGAGATCGTAAGCGAAGCACTGTTCAAACATTATCAGTTTTGAGTCGTGTGTCAGCCCGTCCTCCAAACAAAGACTCAAAAGTGATTCCATGCACCCGCCAAACCCCCTGTATATGAATGAAAAACGGTTTACACAAGACTCACAACTGATTTCATTTGAACACTTCCGAAACAAATGCTTCACTGACGAATTTTGTTCGAACCACAACGCTATAAATGCTTCACCCATGTACTACAAATACAAATAATCGCCAACAGAACCTAAACACCTAACTATGTATAGAACTTGAATGAATAATGTTAATATATATATATACGAGAACACACCTATTTTTTAATTGTTAAATTCAATTGTTAAAATTGATGAATGCGTTTGGGAGCCCGGCCTGAGGACAGGTTATTGAAAGCGTACATTTGGACCCATTGACCGCCTACTCAATGTTAGTTTCTTTTTTTACTTTAAAATATACTTTCACGCGTGGGGTCTGGGTTTCGAGCCTCCTAGAGCCCAGACGAATAAAATAGAGTTTAAAATTACGACTTTTTATACCGAAAATATGCAAATTAGTGAAAACGGCGATTGGTCAGATTTGCTCACATCCCCCCCCCCCCCCTTGCAGTTTTCAAATAACGATCCCCATCGGAAATATGACTTCTGAGCATTATTTTTTAACAGACTTCTGGCTCATTGCACATATTTGGAGTTTCAAATTACTACTTTTTACATAGCTACATAGGTCACCGTAGGCTCCGGTCATTGTTGTCAGAGTAGACTCTAGCTAAAGATTTCACCGTAAACTAGATATTGTGTTGCTGCGTTGGAAGTGAAAGAATACATGCAAGTCCGTAGCTGTTGTTTATAAATATAGTGATTAATTCCAGTACCTGGTGTAGGCATTGATGGTTACAAAGTAGAACTATGACAATTTCAGGCATCTGTAAGATACGATTTATCATTTGTGTTTTTTATCATTCTATATAAATCGAAATGTAATTCAGAGCATTCGAACTTAAGGGTGTGTTTTTCTATATATTCCACCCTTACCCGTGAGCAAAATTACTAAAGGAGAGTTTTAAGTGCTTTAAAGTTTATGCAAATGTTCACTGTTTACACAGTTGCCAAGTTATCAGGATAACATTACTGGCGATACACTGCGCGTAGCTAGGATGCAAAAAAAACTAGGGTGCGCGAAGCTAGGCTGCGTGTACTTAAAAGTGCGCGTATCTCAGCCTAGCACACTAGACACGTGAGGACAGCAAGGCCTCTTCGACAGGCTCCTCAACAGGCTGCAACAGACCTTCAGGAAGCTGTGTGAGAGACGTACTGTGGCTCCCGGCGGAGGAAGGACTAGGCTCCACCTCCCGTGGCTTCAGGAGAGTCAAGATGAAGCGTCAGGTAGAAGTAGGACAAGTACTGCTGCTCTTCGTCATGTATTCCAGTATGTTTATACATTGTATTATGTTGTTTTACCAGTCAACCAGCTGGAAATGGGTTATTTTTCGCGCCATAATAATTGAACTCGTAACTGCGGCTAGTAGCCAAAGTTGCCACGAGTAGATGTTATCTTTACTGTTCAGCGCTATGTATATGCAACTCGTCCTCTTACAAATGCCATCGCTTTTGGCTCGTATGCGCTATGGCCAAAAATTGCCGTAATCCAAAATGGAAATTTATTTTCCAAATGAAATGAACCCAAAACAGCAAGTTTTGGGTCCTCTTGTAGGTTAGGAGAGCAACAAGTTCTCCTAAAGGTTTCAAAACGTCATGAACACTGTTAATTTAAACTGTAAGAGGACGGATTGGTATATGGGCTCTGACTACCCCACAGGCGCCGCACCCATCACGACCTCCTAAGCTCAGCACATTATTGAACCTAAGCTCAGGACACATTATTGAACCTAAGCTCAGCACACATTATTGAACCTAAGCTCAGCACACATTATTGAACATAAGCTCAGCACATACTATAGGCGACAATACATCATTACTCAAGTTTTAACTTTGTAATGATTAGTTTACAAGTAGCCTGATGAATTGATAAAGTTCACATAGTCAAGCGTGTATGTGAAATAATTATTACATTTTTATCAAATCATTGATGTTGATACACTAATAAATAAATATTTGTATTAAACATTTTCAGTCTCAATACTTAATCGAAATTTCCGTTTTGTAGTGACCATGAAATTTAAAAATTGGACGCAATTTCAAAATGCCGAAGACCCAAGCAATAACTTGTCTTACTAGCCATATAGCAAGTTGATTCCAGTGACTAGACTCACCAGTTTTAAGAGTAAAAGCTGACACACTCTTCAGCTGTCTTCATTTTCAAAATGTTGACTAATTACTCAAAACCCCTGTAAATTGTATTGATTTTATTTTAATCAACTTCTGAATTATACCAAAGCATAATGTAGCAAGTAGATTTTAATTTAATAATATGATTAATAATAATTCATTGTGTCGAGGGACAGGAAGCCAGTTTGTATATACATGTTAGGCTTCTATGTCGAGGTCACTCCCAAAGTCGTCCTACTGATCCCTTCCCAGGATGCAATTCCACAACAAGATGAATAACTCCTGGATACCTATTATTGCTGGGTGAACAGACGCACTAGGTCATAGGAAACGTGCCCAACCATTTCTGTTTCAGCCGGAATTCGAACACAGAATTCCCGATTGTGAGTGAAGAACAAACCTGACAGTACTACCGGGACTTAGTGTGAAAATTCTAAATTTGAAGAATTGAGCATCTCCATGAACGCTAACAACATAAGCTCAATAGGAATTGTTCATATTCAAAACAAATTCCTACGGAAGAAATATTTCTGAAAACTATAAGACTTTAGAGACTCCTGGAACCACTTACCACGGAAGCTGCTACGTGTTTTACCCTTCTGGTCAGCCCGTTATCACCTGTAGTCCCGCTGATAATCTTGCTTGTGTCTACTCTTTAATAGTACCTAGTGCTCTCTTCCAAGCCCCAATCACTGGGAAACTCTCCCTATTGGTCATGGACGAGTGACTGACCCTAGATGAGACCGGATTGGAAGCCAATCCTCTTTGAGCGTTAGAGGAATATCCCTACTAACTGCAGACCAGTAGTTAGTAACTACGGGACAGTAGCTCTAAAGGTTGTTTGTCACTGTGTGTCTTCCTACCACCAATTTCCCGCGCTTTTTCCTGACAGTGACTTGCCTTCAAGTGACTTACTGAACAGATATCCAACCTGTCCATATGTTCTTTCTTGTTCAGGATGCGAGGAATGAACATTAGTACTACATGGTCAAATGTATTTGCTGCCTCAGGTCTGAGCAAGTTGTACCATCAATTACCATGGGATCAACCAGTGGGAGCAGTTAAGAGCTTCAACTGGATAGTGTGGTCCTCCAAATAACCAATTAGTGCAGATTTAGTGCCTTATCTAAATGTTCTCTGGAAGTCACTGGTAAACCGGGTTATTCCCGTGTCACAAGTACGTGTCCAGATTTACCTTCTCGTACCGGAGAAGCTCATGGTTGCTGCAGAAAAAAGTCCACTACGGGCTCACCATAGCCTGTGCTACTTGGAACTTTTTGTTCCAAGGAGGGAATCTTAAACAACAACAACATCATGGTTGCAGCCGTGTAGAGAAGGTTCCGGAAGCTTCCCACAGTACCGCGTCCCCCCCCCCCCCCCCCCCCCTCGTGTAAGGACAACACTGTACTCAACCCATTAACACACCGTATCTCAACTTTATCACCAAATGGTACTTATTTAAAGATATTACAGCTTCCGTTCAGATTTCTCATTCCCTGGATGTTACGGTATATTCCTATTTGTACTTAATTCGCCAATAATCACTTTTTTTTAACTTGTACCAAACTCCTCATCCAGTGACCTTAGAGAGATCGTCAGAGCCTCTTGTCCACATTAATCTTCGAGCTGATTAGGTGCATTAGCGCTATTGTTTGTTGACCATTAATCTGTGTTCACTTGACCGTTCAGTTGACTACTGAGGAGCATAATAATGAGCTTCATATATCGTGTCTTGACACCTTCTGCTTAAGCAGTCTTTGTTTTACGTACATTCCAATTTAGGCCCAGAATTGACTTTCCAAACTGTACCTATTTACTTAAGACTTTCCAGACTCCACTCTGGTAATCTTTATAAAACTATATATGCATATATGGGCTATACATGCATGCATATATTTTGGGTAATTTTTATGGAAAATTATATTAAAATGTGTACAACCTCGTCTCGGTGACGTTAATTGTAATACTTGTGTAAATATTCGTCAATCAATACAATCAATGTAAACAAAACGCGACATTATTCACCCATGATTACTCGTTTGTTCTTGGGGGTAGCTCTTATTGACACCCCCCTCCCCCACACACATACATACACACAGCAAAGTAAAGTTATGGAAATGAGATCAGTTGTTAGGAGACCAAAGGGACAGTACACAATGAAGGGGAACAGCCTACCTGTGACGATTCGAGAAAGAGCCCTGGGAGTGAAC